AAAGTTTTATTACAAGTACAACATTCAGTTCTTGGTCATCCCTAGGTAGCATGGTAAGTCCATGAAAGTCTTTCTTTTATATTATTCATATGATAAGCAATCTACCAAAGTGTTTACATGGAAAAAAATAATTTGTTTGAAAAAAATCTCCGTCATTCTGGGCTATATTGTATGAAATGTAGCTGAATCTGGCATGCTCAAACTGAGTTGTTCATTAGTTTTATCCCTTTCATAAGATTTTGCTTGGCAATAGTTGCTATTTTCAAAGTGTTTAATCTAATACATGTATGTTAATTCAATTTTAATTTATTAACTGTAGATGGCCCTGTCCAAACCAGATATACAAGGAACGGCCCAGCATTTTTTAGAGTGTGGCGTTGAAGAATGTGAGAGAAACTGTGAATTTTACTGCAATCCTTGCCACCAACAGATGTGTAAACAATGTAGAGATGAACATCTGAGAAGTCCAGAAACAAAAACCCATGAGGTGGTCCTATACCAACTACGGAAGCGACAACTTCCAGTAAAGAAATGCAAGATACATCCCACCAAGGATATAGATCTTCTCTGTGAAGAATGTAAAATTCCTTTATGTTCCAAGTGTGCTGCTACTGAAGAACATCGAGGTCATGTCTTCACTGATTTAGAGCTTATTTATGCAGAGAAGTTCTCATTCTGTCTTGAAGAAATTACTAAACTGAGGGAGTGTTTTGTGCCATCTTCTGAAGATGTACAGAGAGAAATTAAAGAAGATGTCATGGGAATCAAGAAGATCATGGACAACTTAAGAACCTCGATGAAATCTGAAGCAGAGTCCCTAAAAAGTCTGGTAGATACAGTGGTCTGTGAGAACATGAAGCAGCTAGAACAGATAGAGAACTCGCTGCTAGAGGATTTAAAAACCCAAGATAAGACTCTTAATGATTACACTATTTATCTAAACAATCTAATTAAAGAGCTCCATGGATTCCTCTCTTCACCAGATCCAACAAAATTAACGCTTTCTTTGGTGGATATGAAAATCAAACCGATACCAGAGACGACAAAACCAGTAACACCAGTATTTTCTTCTGGTCAATATGGCAAAGAGGATGTTGTTAAATTACTGGGTAAAATAAGTATTCCAGAGATAAAACCAAAAACACGAAAAATAAAGACTATGGAAATTCTATCCAACCTATCAGAAAAGAAACTTACAAATATTCAACCTTTCCCTGTCACTGAAGTCAGGGAGCTCTACGTCCCGGGTCTTAGATTCAAAACATCCCACCTATCGCTAGACCAGTCAGGCAGACTCTGGGTCAGTGATAATGAGACTGGTTGCCTTGTCCAGATAGATCTACAGGGGAATCGTCTACAAACAATACACACCAGTGGTGGATCTGGTTACCACACAGTGACACAGGACGGAGATCTGATCTTTACAGACCATTACAAGAAAGTTATCAATAGAGTAACAATGGATAACAGAACCACAAAAATGATTAAAACAAAAGACTGGGAACCTTGGAGCATATACTCGTCCAACATCACCGAGGACATACTTGCTGGGATGGTAAAGGGCAAAGTTGCTAAAGTCACCAGGTACAACAAGACAGGGAAAGAATTACAGAACATACAGAGGGATAACAAAGGACAGGAACTGTATAGTGATCCGCATTACATTACAGAAAACATCAATGGAGATATCTGTACATCAGACTATGATAAAAAGGCTGTAGTGGTGGTCGATAAATCAGGACAACACAGATTCTCCTACACAGGTCAGGGGTCAACAACGTTCTCCTTCACAGGTCAGAAGTCAGATTTCCGACCCTTTGGAATCTGTACTGATGTTCGCGGTCGCATTCTGGTGTGTGATCAGTACACTATTCTCCTCCTTGATCAGGACGGTCAGTTCTTATCTTCACTACTCGAACCAAATATGAAATTGTACCCCTTAGTGTGTGTGTGGATGATGAGAATAATCTTTATCTTGGGAGAAATCTTGTGCCAGTAGTGACAGTTTACAAGTATCTTCAGTGATTCTAATTCTTCAGATCTAACGAAGATAAGCACATCATTATTTATGGTTAACAATGGTTTGAATTACAGATTTCATTTTGTGTAGCTTTTGTTTTTTAATAATTATCATACGTAAGCTTCAAAATTTTCAGATTCTCTTATCAGATTAGCATTTCTCATTAGATAGACTACAAGATAATATCAAAATTTCCTATTATGCAAAGGTCACTAGTAGGTTCAAATGCAACTTTTTTTTGTTACTTTGTATAGAAAATATTTCAAAATAAAAATTGCAAAAAACATTTATCTAATCCGTCTGGAAAACAAGATATTCACACAGTCAAGTAAAAAGGCAAGTTTTCGCCAGTGATTGTATAATTATATATATATATAATATAACAGAACGAAGATCAAAACTCTACCGGTTTTAATATTAATCGGCGTTCTGTTATAGTCCCCTACCGGTCAGTCCCCAATATCAAATAGCTTTTGTTTACAATTAAAAAAAAAACATTGTTGAGTATATAATTTTGTTCATTTCGACTTTGCTTTCAAATAAGATGTCAGTGTCCTGTATGATGGACTCTATAGGTTCTAGACATCTTTGTTCGCTTTTTTAAACAAAACACCAATATTAGCTAGTCTTCCAATCTTTAAAATCACTTTTAATTCATATCCATTAAAATTTATTAGGCTCTATTAGGGCCAAATATATAGTTTAATTTATAATTAAAATGTTTAGAAAATAAGGTATTGTGTAAGTTATGGACATAAATATTATACAAACATTTTCATCACTGTTTTTGTAACTAAATATCGTTGAGATGATAACCATCTTGAAGCGAATGTGAAGCAGTGAAAGGGTCTTATAGAGAACTTTAGGTGGAGCGAACTTTTATAATCGGGGGAAAAAAATGAAAAAGGACTCTTCTTCTTTTTAAATAAAAATAATTACGAGAAAGAAGAAGAAGACCATTTCTGCAAATTTTAGTTAAATTTTGAGTTAATGATCACCATAATTAAGTGGCTAAATATATTCACCTCCTCCATGAAGTTTACACAAATTGTGTCATTTTACGTGCTTCCTATATTCACCCTTGATCAAGGTATTCTGTTGGTGAAACGTAAGCCACACTTGTCCAAGGACGGAGTATATATATATATATATATATATATATATATATATGACAGTCAAGGATAAGATAAAACATTTTGCTTCAACCTTCAACTCTGACCTTAAAAGTTAGCTAAGATTACTGCACATTCTTTACTAAAAGGCACAATTCAGATAAAGTATGTGTACTTGGCCAAAGGCATAGAAAATGTGTTCTTGATCTTTAATCTAGAAACTTAAATCAAGGTCACTGTGAGATATGAATGACTACACCCCAGTCCCAAAGGTTTATTACTTACAACGAACTGGAATCTACTTAAACTTGATGGGGATGCTTCAATATCAATATGACTTGCTGTTCTAGAAAAGATATGATAAGTTTGAATCCAGTAATCTTGGAAATATGGATTTAATGTGGTCCAGCTGCTCTTGAATAGATTTTTTTTTAAAAAAAATTCTACATATATGTATTTACAAGTAAACTCCGAGTTTCTACTCTTTCATCATACACTTAAGTAGCAGGGGGCCATGATTTGAACCAATAGGAATCGGCTCTACATTGGAGTGCTTGCATATGAATATGACTAATTATGGCCTATTGGTTCTTTGGACAAAGATTTTTAAAGATTCCCATGTAAAATTTTAATCCCCAATTAATTGTTGAGTTGCCCTAGCCCCTGTGGCCTTATTGCTTACCTATTAATATAATAATCATGTTTTTTTTTATGAGAAGATCCCCCATATGTACCCATGTGAAACTTTGAATCTGTATTGTGGCTTCGTCCTATCCCCGGGCTAAAATTTGAACAAACTTGAATTTGAACCGAGGATGCTTCCATATTAATGAAAGTTTTCTCCTATATCAAATATACAACTTTTGTACCAGACAGTATATTTATATAGGGACTTTATACTGCCTTCTTGTTAGATGGCATTTTTAGTGATGTGGTACAGTCTCCCTCAATTTCAGGCAAGTAAAGCTTTGGATGGATCTGCATCATGTCACAAAATTGGTGGCAGCATAGTGACCTAGTGTCCGGTGACTTGCTTCAGGAAACTCTAGGACGTTTGTGTCTATTTATGGACTTAGTATCCGTGTACAGCATCAGTTGCTGTTACTGAAGAGTTCCCAGACACTCAGAGACAATCCAGTGCTAAATTTACCTTAATTAAATTACATCTATAAATTGATCAATAAATAAATCATTGAATAAATAAATATCTTGCAAAGAGTCAGTAAGACAAATGAGGCAAGACTGAATATCCAATAAAGCTTTTTTAAAATAATATATGTATTGTATGATCAGGATTTTAATGCTCTCTGACAATTGAACAATAATATATCCCACTGAACATAACTGATAAAGTGGCTGAACACTTGCACCCCCTTTCTTGTGAACTTGAATAGTGCTTCATTTTAGTAGCTTGCATTTGTGATGCTTTTGAATAAAACAAAGTTAGTTTTTTTTTCATCCAAAAGCAAAAGTATCGATTTCTTTGCACGAGTTGACATGATTGTTATCTTTTAGCATAGTGGGATATTGAAATCAATATTTGACTAATCAGGAAGTAAATACAGATCTCGTTCAAGTTTCATGATGAATCTTAGCAGGAAATCACAAAGCCTTTGATACGACAACATTCATTTCTTGGTCATTCATAGTAAGTCTACAAAATTATTTCTCATTTGAGTTAGAAATGCAACCAACTTATCTGCATGGATTAGAAAAAAGTCTGTTATTCCAGGCTACCTGGTATCATGTTGAATCTAGATTTATGGCATGTTCAGACATGTTCATCTTTTTCATTGCCATTTGTCTTCACTTGGCTTTAGTTGTTATTTCTAGAGTGTGCTAATTTAATTTTAATTGAATACGTTTAGATGGCCCAATCCAAATCCAACATACCAGACAAAGCCCAACACTTTTTAGAGTGTGGCATTGAAGACTGTGAAAGAAACTGTGAATTTTACTGCAATCCTTGCCACCAAGAGATGTGTAAACAATGTAGAGATGAACATCTGAGAAATCCAAAAACGAAAAATCATGAAGTGGTCATTTACCAACTACGCAAGAGACAACTTCCTGTCAAGAAATGCAAGATCCACTCTACAAAGGAAATAGATCTTCTTTGTAAAGAATGCCAAATTCCTTTATGTGCCAAATGTGCTGCTACTCAAGAACATGAAGGCCATGGCTTCACCGATTTAGAGACTATTTATGCAGAAAAATTTACACTTTGCCAAGAGGAAAACTTCAAAGTGCAGGAATATTTCCTGCCAACATCACAGGATTTACAGAAAGAAATTAAAGAAGATGTCGTAGAAATCAAGAGGATTATGGATAACCTACGAACGTCCATGAACTGTGATGTAGAGTCTCTAAAAAGTATGATAGATAAATTGCAATCAGAGAACATGAAGCAGCTAGACCAGATAGAACAGTCACTGTTAGAAGATTTAAAAACCCAAGATAAGACGTTCGATAATTATATCATATATCTCAACAATCTAATTAAGGAGTTCCACGGATTCCTCTGCTCATCAGATCCAACAGAGGTAACAGGATTCTCTTTGGTGGATATGAAAATCCAACCGATACCAGAAACGACAAAACCTCTACCGCCAGTATTTACTACTGGTAAATATGACAAAGAAGATGTTGCTAAATTAATGGGTAAAATAAGTACTTCAAAGATAAAACCAAAGACAAGAAAAATAAAGCCTTTGGAAGTTCCATCTCCCCAGTCACCAAATATACCTACAGATGAACAGTTAAAATCTGACAAATGGAAATTTAAATTTAAAGTGCATGAAGCACTTCCTTTAACTTACTCTCAGGTCAAGAAATTTATTGTACCAGGTGTCAAAGAGGTATTTCATATGTCACTGGATCAATCAGACAAACTCCGGGTCAGCGACCTGGGTGGTAAGCTTGTCCAAACAGATCTACAGGGGAATCTGCTACAGAAGATAAAAACCAGTGAAGGGTATGGTTACCACACAGTGACACAGACTGGGGATCTGATCTTCACAGACAAAGACAAGAAAGTCATCAATAGGATAACACTGGATAACAATATCACTAAAGCCATTAAAACAGGAGCCTGGAGACCACTCAGCATACACTCCTCACACATCAATGGGGACATACTGGTGGGGATGATATTTAATGCAGAGGCTAAAGTCACCAGGTACAACAAGAAAGGGAAAGAATTACAGATCATACAGAAGGATAACAAAGGAGAGGAATTGTATAGTTTACCACACTACATTGCAGAAAACATCAATGGAGACATCTGTACATCAGACGTTAATAAGAAGCAAGTAGTGGTGGTAGATAAATTAGGACAACACAGATTCTCTTACACAGGTGACAGGTCAAGGTTCTGTCCCTTTGGAATCTGTACTGATATCTTTGGGCATATACTTGTGTGTGATAAATTTAAAATTCACATACTTAATCAGGACGGTAAGTTCTTGTCTCTTCTACTCACACTAGGTTTATCGATTGATCCCAGTAGTGTGTGTGTGGATGATAAGAACAACCTTTATGTGGGGGCAGATAACTCTGCTTTAGTTGTAATGTACAACTATCTTGATCAGTAATTTAATTCTTCTAATCTAGCAAAGATGTGGATGTCATTATATACTTTTAACAATAAAAAGTTACCATAGTCTCAATTCCCAAGAAGTGAAATGTCTGTCGACTGGGGGAAACGATCTTTGAAAAAGATAATCAATACATTGTTTACAAGTGTAAGGGGAGAGGAGAAAAATGCGACGGACCAGACAGGGATTCGAACCCTGAATCTCCAGTCAGGTGCTCTATAGCTACTAAATAAGCTATCTGGCCACAGGCGATAGAACTCGCCTGACCAACACACAACTTTAATGCTATAATTAAAAGTCACGTGACATTGACATGGACGATAACGTCTATACAACCTTTGTTTTTTTCCAGCACTTCTATTTCGCACTCTAGGCTTGCTTTACAGGGCAGTTGGTTTTGTTAAAAATTTCATTTCATAAGTGTACCACCAAGGTACATGATCAAATACTTCTTAATTATCATAAACAGATGATTGTACATGGAAGAAAATCACGTCAGTCTTAATTCAAAGATTTCTATTATTTTCCATTCCTAACGTTTTATATGCATCTCGTATCACGTAGGTATTAATTAGAACAAATAGTGCATCATATATTTCTCACTGTTTGTTTTGGAGTTACACATGTTCAATCTGCTGCTTTGTTCGTTGTATTTTTTTTTTTTGAATGATGAGCAATGCTTCAGTCTAATAAAACATCAAAATGATAATTTTTATGTTTATTCTCAGATTAAAACTTAATTGAACCAAAACTTATCCTAGTGAGACAGAAACATTTTAGTTGTTAAGATATAATTTTATATATAGATGATATTAAATATATAGATATAATCATGAAAATTAAAATGAAAAGTTTGTATTATATACTCTCTAATCAATTTTGATAATATTATACCAAATTGATTTTGAAATTAAACACTATTCATCAAGATATTTATTTTAGACAGATGGTATCAATTGCCCAAAAGATGCTTCAGCAGAGAAGCTCTAACAGAACTCTTAGTACTTTAACTCAACATATGTTAATATTTAGATGGTGGTCATAATGTTATAAGAGTAAACGCGTAGTTGTTACACAACAACAGACATTGGAGAAGCCTCAATATGATAAATCTTAAAACTGTTCACAGATTCAAAGGGTCATTAAGGCAGGGAAACGGCATTTAGGACTGAGTATATTTGAAAAAAAATATGCACAAGATAATGTATGGGTGATGCTTTTGTGTTGAAACTTTTGAGTGTACTTATTTAATACCAAAAAATTAGGAAGATGTTTGTAATCACTCAATGTTTTGACAAGTCCGAACTTACACATTCTGAAATTTAATCATCTAGGCCATGTGTGGTGCAACTGTTCTATTACAGTAAATAAAAAAAAACTAAGAAAGTCTTTTAATATATCGAATGGTTTTAAAAAGGTGTGAGGTTCTTTTTAATTTGTTTGAATATATATTTTATTGCATTGCAAATACAACAGGATTTAATACAAGTTCTTGCAGTTTAGATATTCCTTTCCCTGTAATAAGTAATGCATGGCAAAATCTGTACCACATCCCATATCAACCCAAGACCCTAATATCAGCCAGAGGGCCGAAGGCCAGAGGGCTGATATTTGTCGAGGGTTAATATGGGGTGTGATACAGCTTTTGACTGTATTGTTCTTTTTATTATATATTTAAAAGATAGTGTCCACAATTCACATATACATGTACATGTAATTAATTTTTAATAATTATGTGTTCTTCTTTTCTTTAAATTAAACAAAATAATTATTTAGAATCATATGAAAAATTGCAATTGAAATAAAAATAAAAAAAAAATCATAAAGAATAGAAAAAGATTCAAGGTACTCCGAAGGAACAGTTCAGAGGTGTTTCGGAGAGGTGTAATAATAGGTGAATAAAGGGAGTGTATAAAGCAGGGCGCGTGCCTGTTTTCATATCAGGGATCCAAAAATCCTGTATCATATAACAAATATATGATAAATATATATATAAATAATGATTATAATGATTGTCGAACAAATTTATTACAGTTGTAATGAAAATGTGAAGTTATACAATCATGTTATACATACTTGTACAAAATATTTCAAATACACTTATTATAAGTTCAGAATCTTCATGAAATTGGATGACATTTTCAAAGTTTGTTTTAAGATATCTACAAAATCTGCTGTCAAATGGTTATACATGTAGTTTAGAATTTTACATAGGAAACTGCCTGTAAATCACTATCTTAAAGAAAATTAAAAGACAAGAATATTGTACTTTATGTAGCAATGAATGTGAAAATATGCTGCACGTATTTTCCATGTGCAAAGATATATTAAGGTTAAGATACATTTTTTCGAGTTTTTTGCCTCAGTTACAACTCCTGAATTTAAACTTTGTCATAAACTTTATAATTTTATATACTAAACAGTACATTTTTCACTGTTGAAAATGTGCCAAAATGTCAAATAAACATAGATGAAAAAGCAATTTGAAACAGTGTTATAATGTTGAAAAATGCATAATATCAACATTTTACTTAGTGACTTTAGAAAAAAAACCCTGTAATGACTGCCCCGTGTGAGCGACTAACAAAGGAAGAGAAAAAGTGTTTTGGGTTATGATTTTATTTTGGATTACGTCAACAAAGAAAATCAAATTAAGGTCATTAGGGAGTACAAGAAAAACTGCTTCAAGAACCGAAATTATATGCTCAAGACAACGATATAAGAGGTCTGCTTCTTCCATATCTTTAGAAGTTTGGTTACTGGTCACTGCACACCAGTCACTCAAGACTCTATGGCACACATCAGGCAGAACATTAACTAGCTTTGCTCAAAGGGAGAGAAAATATGTTCAGAACAAGGAATTAACAAAAGACTTGTTTTGACCATGACCTATCACCTAGAGACGGAGATCCTATCTGTTCTGTGTATGAGCTATATTGGGTCAAGGTGTGAAAATATTTCAGTCTGACAAACAGACTGATCACAACAGAATGTGTGTAGAGAGAAAATGTTACACAAAATCATATGAATTCATCAGAGGGTTAAAGATGTGAAATATAGTGAGCTCAATTTCAATATCAAGCTAATTCCACTCACAGACACATGTACTTTTTGAATTTATTGAAAATTGAATGATTTTTTTTAAGCACCCCTAAATATCTAAGAATTTATTGAAAAGCTAACCTGGAACGCAGAACAAACAAATTGATAACATGCAAGTTTTCATTTTATTCAAAGACTGGTTAACAATCAGAAGTTTTTAGAACTTGTGTCCAATCCCTTTTATATATTGTCAATAAAATATGTTCAAAACAACAATCAGAACATGCATTATGTACATTTGTTTTGGCCTGAGTAACACATTTATCCTATGCAAATGGACAAGAAATAACTAGAAAATGTAGTTACATGTAAATGTGCATCTATTATGACAAAGAAAAACAATAATGCACATTTCCCTCTTTGCAAATACAATATTATTATTAAACAATACAAATTTTGCATAAAATAGATCTAAAACACAAATTTCGAGTAATTGTGACAAAACAGAATGTTGCCATTTTCTATAAACAAGAAATTTTTTTGAATTAAATGTTTTAAGAAGTCTGCAGAATTGATAAGCCTGGTATCTATTCTACACTACTTCACAGACATTCTTACACTTAATACAGGAGAGAACGAATTACATTATGATAATAAGAAAAATATATAGCACCTGTGACACCTGCTACATTACAATAAAAATTCGTTATTTAAAGTGAATCAACTAATTTAATGTTGGGGTATTTTATACTGAAAAGTACGTTATAGCCAATGTTTAAGATCAAAGGTTATAATTTGGTGTTTTCTTTATCCTTAAGTTTACAAAACAATAACGAACAAATCTCATTATGTCCATTTTCGCAAAATAAAATACAAAGCTTTTAGGGGAGTCATCAAGAACATGAATTTGTCTTTTACTACACATACAAGTGTATACATTTATTAAATTGTTTAAATGTGTTTTTATTTTATGATACAAATCTTTGAGTATCTAGATTCACCTTCTGATTACAAAGTAAAATATAGACTGAATTTGAAATGCCCTTGAAAATGTTGGATATTATTCCTTATCTATTGTTTTCTAGCATATTCTATAAGTGAGTTTATAAATTAAAGCCACACTCTTTAAATATTCTTTTGAATCGTACAATTAGTCTCCAAGGTGACCCTTGGCATCAGGTTCTTTCCTGGGTTCAGTGGTTAAAGTATCAGATATTTTGTTCATTTAATTACTATATACATGTACATATTTATTCCTGTTTTGTGTGTGTTGTGAAAAGAGAAAGAGAGAGACAGAGAGAGAGAGATTTTTTGTTTACTTTCATGATAATGTTTGGGGGGGGGGTTAATTTTACAATTTTTTTTCATCTGCATATGAGATGTATATCTCAGTTGATTCGATACGCAAGAGCATGCTCTAGGTATGAACAATTGTAAAACGAGGTAAGTTATTGACAAACAAGTTGATGAAACAAGAATATCAACAGTATCGTTTAAAGTTATTATTTGGTCGATACAATGCTCTTGTCAGCAAATACAATCTAACATTAAGTCATATGCTGATTAACGTTTTTCATACTAATTGTTAGGCCATTTTTTACACAGTGAGTTGTCCACGGGTTTTCCCGTTATTCCCGACCATGACAAGGAGCAAACGGCGGGTGTGACCGGTCGGCAGGGGATGCTTACTCCTCCATGGCTCCTGATCCCACCTCTGATGTTTTTGGAGGTCCATGTTTGCTCTGCTCCCGATTTGTCTTGTTTTAATGGACTTTGAGCTTAAATACTGTTCGTTCTCTCCATATTTCACCAAAAAATCTAAAAGAACTCATCACAGTAAGTCTTTACTTACTTTAAGCACACGTCTTAACTTAGACCTTGACCTACATATGTGTTTGAGTGTTTTAATTACCTGAACACTTGGGAGGGATAATTTCTACATATCTTAACTCTGTTGCATATTTCAACAAAGGTTAAAGACAAGATTTCTACACATTTGATACCTGGAAAGAATAATAGAGTTCTACACACTTTGACAATTAGTAAAGGTACAAGTTTTACACATCTTGACAATGGATAAAGGTTTTACACATTTTGACAATGAGTAGTGATAATTATTCTACAAACCTTGACACTGGGTATAGGTTTCTTTGGAGCATTGGGGGGTTTCTGGAGTTCTGGAATATTCTCTTCACTCAGGAGGTCTTTCTTCCAAATTTCATTTTTCAGTGACTCTCTCTTAACCAAATATAGTCTAAATGATAGGAGATTCTGAAGGAAAATAGACTAAGTGTAAATTATTCATGAGGAAATACATGTAAAACTGCAAAATATTTTTTTCATAAAACTTATTATTTAAAACAACTGAGGTTGCATTATTTTTTACAGCATGACACCCATACATCATTTAATTAATGACCTTCCTCTCCGGTGATATCCTTGAACTTTGGTACACCCTTCTGCCCATATATTTTATCCACTAAATGACTTACCTCTCCAATAATATCTTTGACCTTCAATACAGGTTTTCCAAGTTGATGGGGTTCAGTAATCCTCAATAATGGTGTATTCCTTGTTGTGAATAGCATTGCAAATCTGCAGCATAAAATGAGAAATTCAAAGGAAATGTGGTCTTGTAAAAGCATGAAGAATCTTTTCACTGTTAAAAAAAAACAAAAATTGTACGTTAAATTCAATATCCGAAGCAGGTCTGGTAGTGTGCATCCCTAGATGCATCATCCATGGAAGGTTGGTCAGCACTAGGCTTAAAGTAACTTAGGAATGAACCTCCTCAAAAGACTTTAATCTGGTAATTCATTTGAAAAATGTAGACCAGAACTAAAATCAGAAGCAAGTCTAGTAGCTTTTATCCCTTGATGCGTTTTCATCCATGCAAGTTTAGGCAACATAAAGCTTATAGCTACTAGGGATTGAGACCTGCTCCAAAATTTTAACCTGCTACAAACACATTACCCTGGTCATTCCTAAGAAAAATATTTTCTAAAAATGCAGCATCTAAAACCTAATTGGGTACTATGAAACATACTAAATGAATCATCCATGCAAATCTGATCAATATAGGACATGGAAATCTGCTGAGATAGGACACCGACGCCAAAGATATTACGTACGTTCTTTGTTGAGGTGAGCTAAAATACTGCTCGAATAATGTTTGTTGAGAGAAAACACTTGAAAATATAAGTACATGAACTACATGCATTAAACATGCATCGTTATTTGAATTGAAGAAAACAATGTATCATATATGAAAATAATTTGTTTTACTTCTCATCAATCTTTTAGAAACAGGCATTTTTAATCAATCAATAAAACATAAGTTAATTCTTTTATTATCTTAAGCACTAAAATGTCCTTTAAAGTTCCAAAGTTCTGCGCCGATCAGATTGTTTCTCTCTTTCGTTTTTGTTTACCAGAGCTGTCATGTCACTTGAACATACAAAATTCTTAACGATTAAGTGCATCACCTAATAGAATATTTAGCGATTGCTGATCGGATAAAAAGGTATGTTATATTCTATTTGTAATAGTTTTATCATTTTAGAATACATCATTACCAGAATCTGATATTTCTGCTATAGAATCAGATTGTTTGATTAAAAAAAAATTATTATATAAAATACTCAGTATTCTATTAAAATCTTTTACAGTTTTACAATTACAAGAAGATAGAAAACATGTTTTTTACCTTGTCAAGAGAAAAAGTTTTGGTCAGTGCGAATCCCCATCCAGCCTCAAATGCCCGCCTGATCATAGTACTGCTGGTGGTGGAGGTGGCACTGGCCAGACCAAAAGGATTGGGGAACTTCAACTCACATATTTCTACATTCACATCCACTTTATCAATTGGAGTGAAGAACTTGGGCAGAGATGGAATGGACGGAATAGGAATTCCATGTAATGCCTCTAAAATTTATAAATAATGTTTGATAAACAGGTTTTTTTTACCTTAATCATGTTTCTCTTCCTCATTGCAGTTTATAGAGAAAGGTGAATCTTGGTGATAAAGATAAAATTGTAATGTAAATTCAAGAATAGTTTTCCTTATATGTTCATCAATTCATTAATCACACAAAAAAAAACAACAAAAAACAAAAACCAAACAAAAAACAAACAAACAAACAAACAAAAAAAAAACACACACACACATGCAACTAATTCAAACACTTAAATATATACAAATGTACGCATATTTGCAAACTACGTTCCACTGAATAAATATATTCATATACTTTTGACATTAAAATTTTCTCTTCATTTGTTTTGTCCCCCCCCCCCCCATTACAAAAAAAAATAATTTTATTCCGTCTTTTTTCTGTCCCAAAAATGATAATTTCTTTGAAATATGAGTAGACATAATTGTTATCTGTAAGCTATCTGTGAAATATTTAAATCAATTTTCTACCATCCCTGAAGTAAAAAACAAATATCGTTTTAATCTATGTTTAATCTATGTTTTACAAACCAGGAACTTATTAACAAATCTCGTTTGAATCTATATTTTACCAATCAGGAAATAAATAATAGATCTCGTTAAAAATCTTGTTTTGCCAATCAGGAAATAAACAACAGATCTCGTTTAAATCCTTGTTTTACTAATCAGGAAATAAGTAACAGATCTCGTTTATATCTTTATTTTCCTAAGCAGGAAATAAATGACGGATTTTATCAATAAATAAATAAATAATAAATCGTGTAATAATCATGTAAAATCTTGCAGGACAAGCTTTGATACATCATTCATTTCTTGGTCATTCATCGCATCGTAAGTCTAAAAATCATATTCAAATTATATAATTAGAAATTTAAAGCAATTTATCAATATAATTATTAACTTATCTGTCAAGAATAATTTAAAAATAAGGCTCTCGTTATCATTCTATGCTGGCAGGTATCAGTTTATTTTCAATCTGACACCCTTTACAAGTTCATCTGTTTAACAAGGTAGTTTGATTTCATTGGCTTTAGTATATTTGAATAACTGTAGACTGATGGCAGAGTCCAAACGAACAATACAAGGCACAGCCCAGCATTTTTTAGAGTGTGGCATTGAAGACTGTGAGAGCAACTGTGAATTTTACTGCTATCCTTGCCACCAACAGATGTGTAAACAATGTACAGATGAACATCTGGAAAGTACAGTAACAAACCATGAGGTTGTTCTATACCAACCACGGAAGCGACAACTTCCAGTAAAAAAATGTGTGATCCACCCCACCAAAGATATAGATCTTCTTTGTGAAGAATGTAAAATTCCTTTATGTTCCAAGTGTGCTGCCACTCAAGGACACAAAGGTCATGCCTTCACTGATTTAGAGACTATCTATGCAGAAAAGTTTCCACTCTGTCTAGAGGAAATTACTAAATTGCAGGAGTATTTTCTTCCCACATCACAAGACATACAGAAAGAAATTCATGAAGATGCAACAGAAATCAAGGAGATCATGGACAACATAAGAACCTTCATGATGGCTGAAGCAGAGTCTGTTAAAAGTCTGGTGGATAAAGTGCAATCAGAGAACATGAAACAACTAGACCAGATCGAGCACTCACTGCTAGAAGATTTAAAAAACCAAGAAAAAACATTTAATGAATACAGCATACACCTCAACAGCCTAATTAAGGATTTCCATGAATTCCTCTCCTCGCCAGATCCAACAAAATTAATTTTGACACTCTCTTTGGTGGATATGAAAATCCAACCAATACCAGAAACGACAAAACCAGCAACACCAGTATTTACTGCTGGTAAAAACAGTAAAAAGGATGTTGCCAAATTACTGGGGAAAATAAGTATTCCAGATATAAAGCCAAAAATAAGAAAATTAAAGCCAATTCAAATTCCATCTAGCCTAACACCAAAGAAACCTACAGGTAAACAGTTAAAATCTGACAGAGGGAAATCTAATGTAAAGCATAAACTGTCTGTATCATCCTCTGCCACTAAGATCAGGGAGTTCACTGTACCAGATGTTGACGATGTATTCCATATGTCACTAGATCAGTCAGGTAGACTCTGGGTCAGTGACCTAGGTGGTAAACTTGTCCAAACAGATCTAGACGGGAATCAGCTACAGAAGATAGACACCAGTGGTGGAAATGGTTACCACACAGTAACACAAGAAGGAGATATGATCTTTACAGACCTGTACAGTAAAGTCATCAACAGGATAACACTGGATAAAAACATCACTGAAATCATTAAAACAGGAGACTGGGCACCATTCAGCATACACTCCTCCCACATCAATGGGGACATACTGGTGGGGATGATGAACAGTGGGAAAGGTAAAGTGACCAGGTACAACAAGACAGGGAAAGATCTACAGAACATTCAGAGGGATAACAAAGGACAGGGACTGTATAGTAGACCACACTACATAACAGAAAACTTTAATGGAGATATCTGTACGTCAGACTTTGATAAAAAGGCAGTAGTGGTGGTGAATAAATCAGGACAACACAGATTCTCCTACACAGGTCAGGGGTCAAGGTTCTCTCCCTTTGGAATCTGTACTGATGTCCTTGGTCACATACTGGTTTGTGATGATCACAGAGTTCACATTCTTGATCAAGATGGTCAGTTTTTATCTCTACTAATCACACAAGGAACAGGGATTAATCCCATATGTGTATGTGTGGATGATGAGAACAATCTTTATGTGGGACCTAATTTTGCCACAGTTATGATGTACAAGTATCTTCAGTGATTCTTGTTCTTAAATCTAACAAACATGTGCAAGTCATTATTTACACTTAAAATAAACAGAATTGCGTGTATCATAAATCTAATTTTGCATATCTTATGACGCAACAAAATTCTCAAGAATAAGTGTTAGATTAATAGACAACCAAATGTGTCTGTGTCGTTAGACTTGACCTACAGAAATAGGGAAATCTGTTCTGAAACTGCATGGTTAAAGTAAAATATCCATAACAAAATTATCCAACATTAGAATTTTCATTCGATCCAGGAACAGTCATCAAATAGGGATGGTCACTTAAGAAATGAATTTAATTTTTGAAGATTCATGAGGACATGAACGACGACGCTTCACGCCGGCATATTTCATGAAGCGCGTTAGCGCTTCATGATAAATATGCCGGCGTGAAGCGTTGTAGTTCATGTACCTCATGAATTTTCAAAAATTAAATTCATTTCTTATATTTACATTATTTTTCTGATGCGTTGTCACAATTCAACTGTGTTTTTAAAGCAAAACAGTTTGCACTATAGTTTTGACGTCAAGTACGGTATTATGACGTAACAATGGAGATATTCATGCTCATTCATGGTAGTTCATGAGAAAATGAACAGTCTTCTAATTTGCAAAGAATCTTAAGGAAAAATATTTGGAAATGTAAATATTAAAACATGTACATTGTATATTGTGATTAGCTCATACAGTAACAGTTAATCCCATAAGACAGATGACTGATGATTACATGTTAAACAAGGAATGTTTGAGAAACATATAACCCCCCGTGTCGCAAGTTTAAAAAGGGAACAACTTTAAAGAGCTAGCGCCCAAATCTATTAAATTTTAGACAAAATTCAAGGTTGGAATCACAAAGCCTAGATGTTATATTGTGGTGCACAATGTCATGTTACTCTACATTCAATTTTTTGCCACACAGCCACTGTCTTTAGTACATGCACAGCATCAAATATACCAATGAAGTTAAAAAGGGCTTTACGGTAATTATTTCAAAATATCAGTATGGTTACTCTTAGTAGTTCCAAACTTTGAAGAGAGAAAAAAAAATTATTATTTATTACATTTTCAACAGTGAAATACTGTGATTTATTTATTGAATAAAAGTGATATTCTCTTACAGTATTAAAGGATACCAAAAATGATATTCTCTCACAGTGTGAAAGGATATCAAAGTAAGTAAAAAATAATTCTGGCCTGTCATAAGATAGAAATAGTAAAGCATCTTGATAGAGTTAAAACTGCAAATTTCTTCCCAAATATGTTGCTAAAATGTTTTCAATCACACAACTTCTAAGCTATGACGTCTCAACCGCTCAACTATGACGTCAAGCCTATGACACTGTGTTAAGAAAAGACAGAGGCAAAGGGAAAATCAAAGAAAATGTAATAAACAGAAAATTCAATGCTTTGTAGATGAATATGGAATTTATTTCACTCGTGAGACAGGATTTTTTGATATTTTCACTATGCTTCGCACTCGTGAAAATATAAAAAAATCCTGTCCCACTCGTGAAATAAATTCCATATTCATCTACAAAACATTGAATATCCTCTATATATATTAAAATATCTTTGACCCTCAATACAGGTTTTCAAGTTGATGGGGTTCAGTATGGGGGCTCTAGCTGTCCACCCCAGTTGTGTAGTTCCTCAATTCTCCTGAGATAGTGGAGGGTCTTTAATCCTGTTATGTAATACTCAATAATGATGTATTCCTGGTTTTGAATAGCACAGCACACCTGCAGCATAAAAAGAGAAAGTTTATAGAGAAAATATGATGTTTTTTCTTTTCATTTGATATTCTCTATGATGCTCTTTGGAGAATCTTTTCACTGTTAGTAAAACCCAGAAAATGTATGCAAGGTTCAGTATCCAAAAAAGGTCTGGTAATGTGCATCCCTACATATATCTTCTATGCAAGGTATTTCATAAGTAAAATGCAAACAATTCTAGCAAAGCTTGTGGGACAAAATGGGTCAAAAAAGAAATTTTTACTTGACAAATTTGTAAAGGACAAATTTTAGTGAAAACAGAAATTTTATGAAAAATCATATTCTAAATTAAATCAAAACTTAAAATGATTACGAGTCTGAACTAAAAAATATTCCAAAGTTATCTAATGCAGAAGTTGAAGAATTAAAAGGCTTTATTACTTTACAAGAGGCTTCCAGCACTCTAAGTAGAATGAAATCAAACAAATCACCAGATTCTGGTGGTATTCAAAGTCTTTTGGAAATACCTTAAACATTTTCTTGTCAGATAAATTAACTATACATATGAGAATAGCCTACTGTCTATCACACAAAGACATGGAATAATAACACTTTTACCAAAGAGGGATAAGCTTAGACAGTTTCTCAAAAACTTGCGGCCAATAACACTCCTAAAAACTGTATACAAAATTGCATCAGTACTGTTGCTAACATGATAATAATTAACCTCGACAAATTAATTAATAATGATCAAACAGGCTTTATTTTCAATAGGTACATAAGGAGAAAATACACTTTTGATTTATGATATTATGCAGTACAAAGAGGAGGAAAATATACCAGGCTTGTTGTTATTGATTCATTTTGAGAAAATTTTTGACACCATTTCGTGGAAATTCATTCAGAAATCCCTGCAATTTTTCAATTTTGGTTCCTCAATACAAAAGTGGGTGAAATTGCTTGATACTTATTTAAGTTCCACAATTAATCAAATTGGAAACTTATCACAAAGTTTCAATATTCAGAGAGGCTGTAGACAAGGGGATCCTCTATAACCATATACCTTTATCTTGCTTGAGAAATTTTAGCAATTATGATAACAAAAAAAATAAGAAAAGAAATCAAGGGAATTACTGTAAAGGACATAGATACATATCTGAATCAGCAGATGATGTTTCAATTTTGTTAGTTGGTAGTAAAGAATCACAGATGGAAGTGATGAAAACATTAAACAAATTTTCAGAAATGTCTGGATTATATATCAGTTGTTCAAAATCCCATACAGTTTGGATTGTTTCTAGACAAGAAGTATTAAGTCATGAGTATAATCTAATTTTAATTGGGGATGTACAAGATTTACCTTACTTGGAATCCTTATGATGTTGATTTGAATGAAATTGAAAGACTTTGAACCCAAACTGAAACAAATAAAAGCCATCATTAGTCAGTGGAGTAATAAATATTTGACGTCTATTGGGAAGATAACTGTTCCCAAAACTCTAGTTATACCTCTTTTAAATTATATATTAATGGTTTTTCCTAATCCATCAGAAAATTATTCAAGGAACGTGATTTTTTTTATTTGTATGGAATGGTCCACATCACAGAGTGAGAAAAGATGTCTTAGTAAAAAGATATGAAGAGGGAAGATTAGAAATGATAAAATATTATCAGTGGCCATGAACTGAATTATTTGAAATTTACACTACCTTAAAAGCTTCTACATAAGTTAGACTAGTGATTTTTGTAAAAAAGATTTTTTTTTGTTTTTTTTTTCTATATAGGTTTTTTCCTATATATTTCAATGTAAAATTTTAATTCCCTTTTATGGCCCCACCCTGCTTCAAGGGAACATGATATGAAAAATTTACAAATTACAATACCTCAGGGAACTTCCACATAAGTTTCAGCTTTTCTGGTCCAAAGGTTTTTGAAAGGAACACTTTTAAAGACTTTTCCAATATATTTCAATGCAAATCTTTTGATTCTCTATTGTGACCGACCCTATCCAAGGGGGCCATTATTTGAACAAGTTAAAATCTACACTTCCCCAGGAGGCTTCCACACAAGTTTCAGCTTTTCTGGTTTAGTGGTTCTTGAGAAGAAGACTTTTTCAATGTCCCCATCCTATTGCCTTTTCTTGATTGGTCCTTCATTTTTTATTTAGAACCCCCTTAACCAAGAAATGCTTTTTACTAAGTGTGGTTAAAAGAGGCCCAGTTGTTCTTGAGAAGAGGTTGAAAATGTGAAAAATTTACAGATGGACGAACAGACGAACCGATGGATGGACAGACGATGGAACAATGGGTGATCAGAAAAGCGCACTAGAGATTTCAGCTCAGGTGAGCTACAAATTGAGTATACAAAATAATAATAAATTTCTACTTGTATTTATTTAATTCATTTAAAATTGTATAAATACATAAATCTTATATTTTTGCCAGAGGATCAGATTGGTTGGTCAAAAAGATTTATCATATAAAATCTCTGGTATCATATAATAGATTTTAAGAGATTTTTCATTTACAAGATGATAGAAAAGATTTTTTACCTAGTTCATATAAAATGTCTTTGTCAGTGCAAATCTCCATCCAGTCTAATCATGGCACTGCTGGTAGTGGGGTGGCACTGGCCAGACCAAAAGGATTGGGAAACTTCAATCCACACTTTTTTACACTCACATCCACCTTATCAGAAGAATTTGGGCAGAGACGTAGTTGACGGAATTGGAATTCCATGTAATACCTCTATAGTTATAAAGAATGTTTAGTAAACATTTTTAAACCTTGACCCCTCTTTCTCATTTTCATCTGAGTTTAGGGGGAGGGATGAAATTTAAATGAGGAAAAGATAAACATAAATGAATTGAAGCATAGTTATTCTGATGAGTTCATTAATTCATGAACCACTCTCAAAAAATGACGATACAAGTAACTGAAATACTAGTACTTCAACAAATGTACAAATTTTCACAATATTATACATTCAAATAAATAAATATATTCTTATACTTTTGACGTTTTTAAAATGACTTAAATAAATATTAAATCAATTAAAAGACAAATTAAAAAAAATATTAAATTAATAAATTTCTTGCAAAAGGCCACTAAAGACTCAAACATTAAGCATCTAATAGTGCATTTAAAACTAGCATCTACAAAACTTGCAAAATACATACAAGTGTTTTCTGATAAACTTTATATGAATCAGACAAGTGAACAATGATATATGCTGAGCATATCTGATAAATTATCCAAATGCTGACTTCCCTATTATTGTGAATATATTTTATCAATTAGGAAGTAGATAACAGACCTCGTTTAAGTCTGGTGTAAAAAATTTATCAGGAACTTTCCAAACTCTTTTAAACAACATTCATTTCTTGGTCATTCATAGCATAGTAAGTCTAAAAATGATTTTTATATGATTGAGAAAAGCATCTTATCTCATCAAGCGTTCTGTCAAGATTAATTTTTTAAAAAAAAATTTAAAAAGATCTCATTATCATTCCAGACGGGCAGTTATTTTCTGAATGCCCAAACATTTTCATCAGTTTTACATTATCATTTGATTTCAGTGGCTTTTATTGCTATTTCAAAGTCTGTCTAAATAACTGTAGATGGCAGAGTCCAAACCAAGAATACCAGGCACAGCCCAGCACTTTTTAGAATCTGGCATTAAAGACTGTGAGAGAAACTATGAATTTTACTGCAATCCTTGCCACCAACAGATGTGTAAACAATGCAGAGATGAACATCTGAGAAGTCCAGAACCAAAAAACCATGAGGTCGTTCTATACCAAATACGGAAACCACAGCTTCCAGTGAAGAAATGCAAGATCCATCCCACCAAGAATATCGGTCTTATCTGTGGAGATTGTAAAATTCCTTTATGCTCCAAGTGTGCTGCCACTCCAGAATATCGAGGTCATGCCTTCACTGATTTAGAGACTATCTATGCAGAAAAATTCTCACTCTATCTAGAAGAAATTACCAAAATACAGGAGTATTTTCTTCCCACATCACAAAACATACAGAAAGACATTGAAGAAGATGCTACAGAAATCAAGGTAGATCATGGACAACTTAAGAATCTCCAAGGAGGCTGAAGCAGAGTTCCTAAAAAGTCTGGTTGATAAAATTCAATCAGAGAACATGAAACAGCTAGACCAAATAGAGCACACACTGCTAGAAAATTTAAAAACCCAAGAAAAAACATTTGTTGAATACATCATTCACCTCAACAACCTAATTATGGAGTTCCATGGATTCCTTTCCTCACCAGATCTAACAAAATTAACTATGACACTCTCTTTGGTGGATATGAAAATCCAACCAATACCAGAGACGACAAAACCGGTAACACCAGTATTTACTGCTGCTAAATACAGAGAAGATGACGTTGCAAAATTACTGGGTAAAATTAGTATTCCAGAGATAAAACCAGAAAGAAGGAAAATAAAGCCAATGGAAATCCCATCTAGCTTAACACCAGAGAAATCTAAAAGTAAGCACTTAAAATCTGACAGAAGGAAATCTAATCTGAAACAAACACTGTCTCTTTCTTCCTCTGGCGCTGAGGCGAGGGAGTTCATAGTACCAGATGTTGACGATGCCTTACATATGTCACTAGATCAGTCAGGCACACTTTGGGTCAGTGACATGGATGGTAACCTTGTTCAAACAGATCTACAGGGGAATCATTTACAGAAGATGAAAACCAGGGGTGGATATGGTTACCACACTGTGACACAGGACGGGGAACTGATCTTTACAGACATGTACAGTAAAGTCATCAATAGGAGAACACAGTTTTACAATATCACTGAATTCATTAAAACAGGAGACTGTATACCACTCAGAATATACTCCTCCCACATCAATGGGAACTTACTGGTGGGGATGGTGAAGGTTGACAAGGCTAACGTGTCCAGGTACAACAATACAGGAAAAGAATTACAGAACATACAGAGGGACAACAAAGGACAGGGACTGTATAGTTCACCATACTACTTAACAGAAAACATCAATGGAGATATCTGTACATCAGATTATGATTAGGCGGTAGTAGTGGTGAATAAATCAGGACAACACAGATTCTCCTACACAGGTCAGAGGTCAAGATTCTCTCCCTATGGAATCTGTACTGATGTCCTTGGTCACATACTGGTGTGTGATAATCACAGAGTGCATATCCTTGATCAAGTATCAGTTTTTGTCTCAACTAATCACACCATTGATCCAATAAGTGTGTGTGTGGATGATGAGAACAATCTTCATGTTGGAGCTTGCTATGCCAGAGTTATAATTTACAAGTATCATCAGTGATTCTAATTCTTCAATCTTAAAGTCATTATTTAGACATAAACAGAACTACTTTATCACAGATAAATTTTGCAGATCTGTAACGGTTATCACCGAAAACTTTCCATTAAGTCAGATATTTGACAGTATGAGGCGCGTTAGCTTAACTTAGCTTAACCTACTTAAAACATTTCAGCAATATCGAACACTCCCATTGTTAACTTATTGGATGGACACCTACGGGTAAACTGGTCTCGTTCTGCTGTGCTGACTTTATCTGCCACTGTCCATTAAGTTGGGCCAAAGAAAATGAGTTTTTGAATTTATCACTGTAGTTTTGCAGTAGTAGGAATCATCGAGTCCCCATTTTATGTCGATAAATGTGAACATTAACTTGGTTTTCTCTTAGCTGCATTTTTTAGCTGCATTGCAACATTTTCAAATATATACTACACATGCGTAAAAGTTAATTCTTTTAAATTCTTGACAATCTGTTCATTTTACAACTTTACCTCACAGATGAGGACGTGCATTTTAAAGCACTGACTTCTTCATAATCAGATATTCTTGACAATTAATGCATGAAGAACACCAAAATGCAAGTCGGGAGATATTCTTATATTTTGGAGTTTGCTAGAAACAGTTTTTCGATTGTGCAAAACAAAAGGATTTTAAGGACTTTCTCCAACCACTCTTGAAGCTTGATTTTTTTCTAGAGTGTAACTGGGACATTGTTTCTGATTTTTTTTTTAATTTGCAACAAACAATTTCTCGACTCACTGTCTTCAGATTTTGAAGGATTTTTTTCCAGCCACTCCTTAAAACCAGCGACAGACACTCGCGAAAATAACGTAGGACTGGATGGGCAAATAGTCACATCTAAAGAAATTAAAGGTTTACATCACAAAATCAATCACAATTTGGTGAATTGAATAGTTAAAGGTCGAACAATGGATATTCAGCTGAGCAAAAAAAGTCCAAGGATTTGTGGAAGGAAACACATACATCTGATTCTTCTTTTGTGTCCCCAAGATTCTGTGCATGTTCCGTGGATCAAATAATGTGAAATAAAGAGGTATGAACGGTATTAATGGAATTTAAGATCGGTGCCACGGATTTCTTTACATTTCCTTTGAGACATTTAGTTCACCGTGGATTATTCATGCAGATTTCAATAGGATAATCTTGAGAAAAATTTATATTTTACGCTGATAATTTTTCTACATTGATCATATTAATTTGTTTGATTTATCAAAAGCTTTTTAATTTCTGTTTATTTATCTATGTCACCCTTTGTTTTCCATTTGACGTTACCTGAAGCTGTCCAGTAAGTTGAATCTAATTAGACACTTACAGTTAGCCTATTGACGGAGTTTACATGTAGGACAAAAGGAAAACTACTATATTGTAGACCAGGCTCCTGGGACATAAAACTTAGACGAGGCTCACTTTTGATCTCAGTCTCACTTTTGCCAAAGGAATTAATAGTGGAAAAGTGAGACTGAGATCAAAAGTGAGGTCTCCCCAGGGCCTGGTTTAAGAAAAGGGGACGTCACAAAAATGTTTAATATGATATATTTCCCTGAAAAATGATGCATTCAATGTAGAAAGGATCAATGTAATGAAACCTATAGTTGATAGCGCAATATTAATAATATCAGAATAAGTTTGATTGTTTTAAGTTTGTGTTAACTGCTTGTGTGAAATATCCAAGACTGAGTACCGTTAAAGTAGCTCAGTTGGTAGAGCGCTCACTCCGATCAGGTTATTATATGCAGGATGTGGAAGTTCGAGAATTTTGTGACGCTGTATTCAGTCCTGTGCGACTTGTGCTTTATGGGCAATAGCATTGTCATGCAGCAGTTTAACGCCTCTCAGGCCAGTATTTTAGCGTCTTTTTTGTAAAATTTATAAAGTCTTGGAAATAGATTTGAAGAATACAAATTTTCAGTAAAACTTTTGCTCTGTAGAACTACTTATCGATATCTATAAGAGTTTTAAAAAGCATATAGATTTTTCTTGGATGTTAGACTAGGATGTTAGACTTGGATGTTAGACTAGGAGGATGACCCTAAAAATTCTCATTGGAATCAGAGCTTGCTCACGCACAGAATAATGAACTGGCCTCAAGACCATAAACTGAGAACAGACTTAAGTCAAAATTTTGATTTTGAATATCTTGAGTTTTATTTAACATATGTACTTAAAAAATTGCAGATTTGTGTTATATTCAAGTTCAAACATATGGTGAAAATTTTGATTCATTATAAAAATTATTAGTCCCCTACCGGTGAAACCGGAGGGGACTATAGGTTTCCTCTGAGTCTGTCCGTCCGTCTGTCCGTCCGTCTGTCTGTCTGTCTGTCCGTCTGTCTGTCTGTCTGTCCCTCTGTCTGTCTGTCAGTCTGTCCCACTTGGTTTTCCGCACTTTTTTCCTAAACGCCTGCAGATATTGAGCTGATTTTTGGTATGTGAGTGTATCTTGATGAGTTACAGATCAAGTTTGCATTTCGTTCCGCTTCATTGATTTTTGACGGAATTACGGCCTTTTCAATTTTTACGGGTTTTCCGCAATTTTCTTCTAAACGCTTGTAGATATTGAGCTGATTTTTGGTATGTGGCTTTACCTTGATTAGTTACAGATCAAGTTTGCATTTCGTCCCGCTACATTAATTTTTGACGGAATTATGGCATTTTCAATTCTTAACGGGAACGGAACCAGATTACACTTGCCGGTAGGGGACTAGTATTGCTAATGCAATACTCTCAGAATGCTTGTTTCAAAAGTTATATTGATTTGAAATTTTGACTTAAGTCTGTTCTCAATTTATGGTCTCGGGGCCAGGTCATTATTCAATAATGACCGCTGAATGATAACCCGTTAAAATAAACTAAGCGTAAACTGTACATAATTTTGAAGAAAAAACCATGTCATTATGAAAATTTTGTCCTTTATTCATTGAAAATTTTGTCAAAGTGTATAATTCAGAAAGGTCAGACGTTGCTCTTTTACAATAAGAATCTATCCCAGATTTTCATTGTATTGTACCCAGGGATAGTAATTGTGAATTATAACAATCCATGTAAGTGCCAATCACCAAGTGCTTTTAATCAGTAAATATTTACATCCACTAAATATTTTTTAAAAACATTTTTCTTATGAAACCCACTTTCCTAAAACAATCCATTACAGTCCAATAGCAATATTTTTCAACAGGGGGAAGGGAGACCCCTAAAAAATTTGACAAGCATACAAACTAAAAAAAACTAAAATAACCAGACCCGAAAATCTAAAAGGGGGTTCTTCCTCTAATTTTGGTTTTTTTTTTCAAATGCTGGTCTCTTCTATCAATGAAACATATACCATGACATACAAATCAGTAACATAAATTTTCCTTACTTAAACCTGCTTTATCATGTTTATACAATTATTTGAACAGACATAAATATAAACAATACAATTTTTTTCTGTTTGTTAATGCAGAATTAATGAATGCAACCATTATGAAAAAATATTTACATTGCCTGCCAACATAACCTGCATTAACAAAGAAAGCGTTTTATTATTTAAATCTGTGGAATTTCGGTAATAAAGAACTCTCCGACATTCGATATTCTATATATTTTCTTAATAATAAGAGGTTTGTTTAATATTAGTTGTCAGGAAACTATTATAAATAACCTTATTTAGCATGTGAATTTATTTTATTGTGTATGTTGTCTCATATCTGTATAATAAAACAATTGGTTTCCTTTATGAATTCAGCTTGATCAAATCAGGACCCTCGACCTGGCTCACTCGCTGACCTGATTTTTGCTGCTATGCAGCCTCGGTCAGGTCAGGTCAACTCGTAGGCCAGGGGCCTGTTTTACAAATAAAAAACTTACAACTAAGACCAAAATTTAATCCTGTTTATAATTAACTTTTTAATTGACATTATATTGAAAATGGTTTTAATGTTTTTAAAAGGAATGTAGTAAGTTATTTTTACGCTAGCAATTTTAAACAGAATCATTAATTTTGCAAAATTTTACAATCAACTCAAGTTTTTGGTCTTAGTCGTAAGTTCTTTTGTAAAACGGGCCCCCGGTCTTGCATATTCATATTGACATCACAAGGGGTAATTAATTGTATAATAATTACTAAAGACAAAGTCTGCTAACCTTTTAAAGACCAACTCATTGGTTTTTTTCCTATTTAATTTTTTTTCCTATTTATGTACAATTGTTCATTGTGAGATGTATTTTTATTTGATATGATGTTTAAGGTCCTGTCTTAAATGTACTCAATATTGTCCGTAACACAATTTCTATTTTTAAAACTCTCATCATTCTCTTGTACAACTCAAATTTGTACCTGATTTCTGACATTAATGTTAAAATGTGTAAATTGCATGACAGTGACAATAAATCTACCTCCAATACCTTTTCGAACTTAGAAGTATTCTTAAAGAAAAAAAAAGATAAATGCATGTATGTAAGTGACAGCTTTATTCTATGCAATGCAAGTTCACTAGTAGAATAGTTCCTGAATCACTCTACTACCCTATGCAAACAAGCAGGGCAAACAGTATACGTAAGGTGATAAAAAAAATGCATAGTATTAATAACACTAACAAATCTTTTCAAAACCTTTCAAACTTTTCTGCACTTAAGACAGATAACATAAAATTTCACACAAAATTTGGCCAGCTAGGCATGATTATGATCTGAATTACAATTTATTAACAACTTCTGAAAAATAAAAATAAGGAATTATGTCTTTCGTAAGTTGAACTGCAAAGTAATTGGTACTGCGGTTTCTCATATGAGCTGTCAAGGGAGATTACAGGCTTACAAGAATATTACAAGTATTGGATGAGATTTACTGAAGAAATTTAAGAAACTAAGTTTAATGTCATTTTCTTAACAATTTAAAAAAAAAATCATTTGATTTTTTTTGCATAGACTTTTGACAGACTATGTTTGCTGGCTTTTGTTTCAACATTAAAACATATACTTTAGTCCTCAATTAGTATTATTTTTCATATATGGTAAAATTGGTGTAACCAAAGGACACAGGTAGTACTGGCTGGTCCACAGCTAAGCAGGACAACCTTATATAAGCCTCATAATTATATTAGGGAGGTCCTCCAAAGAGGACATAGATGTATCCCTGAGGAATATTTATTGTTTATTGTAAAAATCTGCACTAAGAAGGGGACAATAAGGCTTTATTTAAATTTATTCAAACCTGCTTTTTTGCTACCCTTGGAAATCCTTTATTGTATAAATGTATACAACATTGGCTTTCTGACTTTGTGAATGTATTATGTTCTCAATTTTCAAAATTAATTACAACATTCATGCAGTATCCATAAAATATATCTTGAACTTCATTTGACTTGCTTCAAACACTTTGCATCATTCATCAAAGAACATGTGTTATTCAAACTTGTCCAATGGAACAAAATATACACTCCAGTTAATGATTTTTCAAAAAGGTATGCTTTATCTCTTGGATCAAAACTTGATTATTTTGTTAAATCATGCTTAACTCAATGGCAAATCATTCTCAAGAAAGAGAGGCTGTCAGTTTTTCCCTTCCAGAATTTTTACTCATTGGGAGGCCACTAATTCCCCATCTGTGGAAGGGTGCAAATTCAGACCTGTATGTGGTACTTACAGCTTCTGATTAGTGAGATGGCACAGTACCTCCATTTATAAATATGTTCTCATTATTATGATTGCCCCGTGTAAGCGATTAACAAAGGAAGACAAAAAGTGTTCTTGGTAATGATTTAGACTTCATCTTCAACGTAGAAAATCAAATTAAGATCACTAGGGGGTATAAAAAAAACTCTTGTTCAAGAGCAGAAATTATATGCTCATGACAAAAATATTAGAGATCTGCTTCTACCAGATCCTGGAGGTTTGGTGTCACTGCACACCTGTCATTCAAGACTCAATGGCACTTATATTGTAAAACATTTGCCAGATTTGCTCAAAGGGAGAGAAAATATATTCAGGACAAGGAATTAAAAGTCTGGTGGATGAAGTGGTCTCTGAGAACATGAAGCAGCTAGACCAGATAGAGCACTCACTGCTGGAAGATTTAAAAGCTCAAGATAAAACTTTTAATGATTACATCGCCTATCTAAACAACCTAATTAAGGAGTTTCAGGAATTCCTCTCCTCACCAGATCCAACAAAATTAACTCTGACACTCTCTTTGGTAGACATGGAAATCCAACCAATACCAGAGTCGACAAAACCGGTATCACCAGTATTTACTGCTGGTCAATATGGCAAAGAGGATGTTGTTAAATTACTGGGTAAAATAAGTATTCCAGAGATAAAACCAGAAAGAAGGAATATAAAGCCAATGGATATTCCATCTAGTCTAACACCAAAGAAACCTACAGGTAAACAGTTAAAATCTGACAAAAGGAAATTTAATGTGAAACAAACACTGTCTCTATCTTCCTCTGTCACTGAGGTCAGGGAGTTCACAGTACCAGGTGTTGACGATCTATTCCATATATCAATAGATCAGTCAGACAGACTCTGGGGCAGTGATAATGATGGTAACCTTGTCCAAACAGATCTAGAGGGGAGTCAGTTACAGAAGATAGTAACCAGTGGTGAATTTGGATACCACACAGTGACACAGGACGGGGATCTGATCTTTACAGACACAGACAACAAAGTCATAAATAGGGTAACTCTGGATATTAATATCACTAAATTCATTAAAACAGGAGATTGGGCACCAATCAGCATACACTCTTCCCACATCAATGGGGACATACTGGTGGGGATGAGGAAGGGTAGAGAGGCTAAATTGACCAGGTACAGCAAGACAGGGAAAGAACTACAGAACATAGAAAGGGATAACAAAGGACAGAGACTGTATAGTGACCCATACTACATAACAGAAAACATCAATGGAGATATCTGTACATCAGAGAATGAAAAGGCAGTAGTGGTGGTGAATAAATCAGGACAGCACAGATTCTTCTACAAAGGTCAGGGGTCAGTGTTCCATCCCTTAGGAATCTGTATTGATGTCCTTGGTCACATATTAGTGTGTGATCTGTACAATGTTCACCTCCTTGATCAGGATGGTCAGTTTTTATCTCTACTAATCACACGAGAAACAGGGATTTATCCTATCAGTGTATGTATGGATGATGAGAACAATCTTTATGAAGGAGATGTCGATGCCAGAGTTATAATGTACAAGTATCTTCAGTGATTCTTATTCTTAAATCTAACAATTATGTGTATGTCATTATTTTTACTTAAATTAAACAGAATTATATTTATCAGAGATTTAATTTTGCCTATCTATTGATGCAACAGAATTATCTAATGTAAGTTTTAGAATAATAGATAACCAAATGTGTGATAAGACCGAATCACTAGAGATAAATGTCAAATTTTCCTGTTACTTAATTTTTCTAAAAGGGATCTTTGCTTCATGGACTGATTGTTTATTTGAAATATATTTGTAAATGAAATACTTCTTGCATATTTTTTTTATTTTTATTTTTTTTAATTTGTCATCATATATATATATATATTATATTCAATGTATAAGACCACCAACCTTTGAGTTGCTTTTCAAGAATAAATAAGATAAATAATATTTAAGAAAAATATAACAAAATGATGCAAACTGAGAATTTTCATTTGATCCAGGAATTGATATTATTCATTAAATAGGGATGGTCATCAAAACATACACAATGTATATTGTGATAGACATACAATACTCATCCAACTAATACTCTTAAAAGAGAGATGGCTGTTGATTACATGTGCATGTTAAACAAAAAAATATTTGATAAACATATATGCCCCTCCTGTGACAATTTTAAAGGGAATTACTTTACGTGTAAATTTATTATAATGTCTGTAACGAAAATGAAATCAATTGGTCATCTTTTAGTCAAAGGCAAAAATAATTCTGAGTTTGATCTCTAACAGACCTCAATATCATTATGGGTAATATACATCTTACAGGGTACCAAAATACCAAAATTGATGTTTGTACAGCGAATGGTTCTGACGAAACATCTTCTTATGTCTAGTATATATGTGTTTGATCGTTGCCCTTTGAGCTTGTGACCTCAAAATCAACAGGAGTCATCTACTCCTCAAGGGGAAACAAAAGTGCCAAGTTTGGTGTCTCTCAAGCAAATGGTTCTCAAGATACTGAATGGAACAAGATTTCACTAAGTCTAAGAGTTTGATCCTTCAGTAGGGTTTTAGTTTGTCAACAGAAATGCTAGTAAAAGTTAGATGTACTTTCACCAATACGACCAAACCTGTAGATATTTGTGAATGTACCAAGAGGCCTGTTCTCCATCATTGACAGACTCTACTGTTGTCTGGGCCACCCCTGCTAGATCCCCTCCACAGAATACCCAGGGTTCACTGGTCTGCATTGTCTTGGAATCCACCTCAGGTAATCCCCATCTTTTCATCTTGACTGGACTCATGGCATCAATAACTATAATTTAAAAAGAAATCATTATTGATCAATTTCAACTATGAATTGAACATCACTGAAGCATTGTCAGTGCTAACAAGAAAACCACAAGTGGAGAATCCTAACAAGAGAGCACATCAGTTCTGATATCAACTAATATTGACATTTCCAACTGTTTTCTCTGTGACAACTCTTTGAAAGTTAAGTGTGTTGGTTTCTTGATATTTACAACTGAACCTAAATTTTGCCAAATGAAAGGTCAAGTGTCTAATATGCATGTCAATTTCCTGTGGCTGTCTTTGTGTCTGGCACCAGTGGGCTGGGACTACGGAAAATATGATATTCTAAATCTATCAGACAACATTTTAGAGTTATATTTACATTTTTATTTCACAAATAAATGTAAATATAAGTAAATGAAATACATGTACCAACAAGGGCACTTCAAAGCAGAGCATCCCTTCACAAAAAAAGCATATCAATCCTGATATCTTGTCCGTTATGCAAATTATCCCATGTTTCCAACTGTCGTCAATGGCCTGGCATACCCAATAAACTAGGCAGTGATGCCTTAAATACATACCATCCGATTCAGTCAATCCTGAGCCAAATGCGGCTGATCTTTTCCTCGTCTTCCTCGTATTTCCCGTCATCATCCTGCTCTGTTCTGACAAACTCCATTCCTGTAATCACACCATTTTTTGTGATCACTTTTCTGGGGGCCAGAAATGGCAAGAATTCACATTTCTCCTCTTTGCCAATTCTATCTGGGAAGAAAATTGTATCGCCAAGTTAATAACTTGAATTAAATATCATAGGAATTGTTTCCATCTAATAACCTAGACTTTTAGTACAAACAAGCAAGATTGGGCCAAGGCAAGAAATTCATAAACAACAGGCCTAGGGGCCTACAGAATGCTCACCTAATAAAAATGTACCCAAGATGCATCAACTGACAAAGTTTGATAGTTCCAAGCCGATTAGTACCTGAAATATTGAATATAAGCCATGAAATTGCAAAAGTAGATCACAGTGACCTACTCTTTGGTTGATACACTCCAAAACTCAAGATGCATCAACAGAACTTTGATGATTCTAAGACAATCAGTAATCGAAAAGACCATCAAATTCCAAATGTAGGTCATGGTGACCTACTTCTTGGTTGACACACTTTGAGGACCAAAAATGCATCATCAGACAAAGTTTGGTGATTCTAAGCCAATTAGTAACTGTAAAGGCAATGAAATTCCAAAAATAGGTCACGGTGACCTACTTTTTCGTTAACACCTTTTGAGAACTCAAGATGCATCAACTGACAAAGTTTGATGATTCTAAGCCAATTACTAGCTGAAATAGCTATGAAATTGCAAAAGTTAGTCACGGTGACCTACTTTTTGGTTGACACACTCCGGGTATTCAAGATGCATCAACTGAAAAAGTTTGACAGTTCCAATCCAATTAGTACCTGACATATTCAAATTAAACCATGAAATTGCAAAAGTAAGTCACAGTGACCTACATTTTGGTTGATACACTCCAAAGACTCAAGATGCATAACTGGAAAAGTTTGATGACTTTAACCCAATTAGTATCTGAAAAAAACCCCACCAAATTCCAAAAGTAGGTCACAGTGACCTACTTTTTGGTCGACACACTTTAAGGATCCAAATTGCTTAAACTGGCAAAGTTTGATGATTCTAAGCCAATTAGTAACTGAAATAGCCATGGAATTGCAAAAGTAGGTCACGGTGACCTACTTTTTCGTTTACATACTCCAGGTACCAAAGATGAATCAACTGACAAAGTTTGATGATTCCAAACCAATTAGTACCTGAAATATTCAATATAAGCCATGAAATTGTAAAAGTAGGTCACAGTGGTTTTTGGTTGATACACTCCAAAACTCAAGGTGCATCAACTGAAGTTTGATAATCCTATGCTTCAAAGTGTCCAAAATATGCCCTAAACCAATTGGAAAATGAATACCTGTAAAATTTTAAAAGTAGGTCACTGTGACCTACTTTTTCATAAATCTGTTTTAAGGCCCCGAGGTGCATCAACTTACAAGGTTTTATGATTCTAAAGAAAAACCTCTTAGTATCTGAAATAATGACCTTGAATGTTTAGAAAATGATAATCCATAAAATTCAGAAAGTAGGTCATGGTAACATACTTTATAACTGACACCCATCAATGTCCCATGATGCATAAACTGACAAGTTTTGATGAACATAGACTTCAAAGTATCCAAGTAATGCATCAAAATTAAAATGTAAATGAATACCTGCAAAATTCAAAAAGTAGGTTACCTGATCTACTTTTGAGTCAACGTGATATGAGTTCGAAAGATGCATTAACTGACAAGATTTGATGATCCTAGGCCTTATGGTGGGCAAAATATCAAAGATTAAACAAAAAGTAAATTTTGGTCAATTTTGAAGTGACCTTGAGACCACGCCCTTTGCCCCAGGGCAATTCCCTATGCAAATTTTAATCTACAACGTATCCTCATCCTTGTAAATAAGTTTGGTGATAATCTGCCCAGTGTTTCTTAAGAAGATTTTTTTAGAAACCACAACTTTTGTTTTTATTTCCCTAATTATCTCCCCTTGTTTAAGGGACACATCCCTAGTTTTAGTATAAATGAAGCCCTTGGGTCAAGGATACTCTGTGACAAATTTGAAAAAACTAAAAGGTTCTTGAGATATGGCCCATTTTCCAAAAAGTTAATGCACACCGCACAAATGGTCATAGCATTAGCTCTTTGAGCCATTGGCTCAGAAAAGCTAAAAATTATTCTTCCTGTATGGTTACTGTCACTCATTTTAAGATCATAAATATTTGTCTTTTTCAATCTTAAAAATGATTAATTTTTTACAGTTGGATTGTAATACACTGAAAGCTTAAATTCATCAATGAATGCATTCATAAACACTGATTAATCAGTTCTTACTTTAACTCCAATGTCACAAGTTCAATTGCAGAGTAATTGGTACTGTGGAATCTCATGCAAACTGCCAAAGGGAGATTACAGGCTTACAAAAACATTACAAGTATTGGAGAGAATTATTAAAGAAATGTACGAAACTAAGTTTATTGTCATTTTCTTAACTAATTTTTTTTTTTTACATTTCATTTGAATTTTTTAACAGGATTTCGACAGAATGTGTTTGCTGGCTTTTGTTTCAACATTAGAACATATGTACTTTAGTCCTCAATTAGTGGTACTTTTCATATATGGTAAGATTGGTGTAACCAAAGGACACGGGTAGTACTGGCTTGTCCACAGCCAAGCAGGGCAACTTTATATGAGCCTCATAACTATTAGGGAGGGCCTCCAAAGAGGACATAGATGGATCCAACATCTGAGGAATCTTTATGGCTTTATCGTAAAACTCTACACAAAGAAGGGGACAAGGAGGCATCAATGTATTTTGCTTTATTTAAATTTATTCAAAACTGATTTTTGCTACTCAAATCCTTTATGGTATAAATGTATAAAAAATTGGCCACCTGACTTTGTTAATGTATTATGATCTAAATTTTCAAAATTAATTACCCTCTTCATGCAGTATACATAAAATCTGTCTTGAACTTCACTTTACTTGCTGCAAACTTTTGAATTGAATCCATCCAAGGTACTCCGTGGGTCAGGTTTTAGTCAAACTTGTCCAATAGAAGAAAATACATACTCTAGTCAATGATATTTCAAAACATACCTGCTTTATCTTTTGGATCAAAACGTGATTATTTAGTTACCTCACTTTTTACTCAATAGCAAATCAGTCTAAAAAAAGAAAAGAAAGGGTGTTTGTTTTCCCTTCTAGAATATTTACTCATTGGAAGGCCATTGATTGCCTATGTGCGGAAGGCTGCAATTTCAGACCTGTATGCGATACTTACAGCTACTGAACAGTGAGATGACACAGTACCTCCATTTATAAATACATTCTCATTTGAAGGATCAGTATCAGATCTGCAGTGGGATTTGAATCCATAACATAAGGATCAACTTTTTCCTCAGCGACTCTAGAAGACACCCTATTATGACTGACAAGTCATCCTGAACCATCTGATCTCCAACTAACAAAGGAAGACAAAAAGTGTTCTGGGTAATGATTCTGTTTTGGACTTCATCTTCAACATAGAAAATTAAATTAAGATCATTAGGGGGTATAGGAAAAATTCTTGTTCAAGAGTAGAAATTTTATGTTCAAGACAAAGATATTAAACAGAGATCTGCTTCTACCAGATCAGTCTGGTTTAAGGTCACTGTACACCTGTCATTCAAGACTCAATGACACTTATCATGTAGAACATTTGACAGATTTGCTCAAGGGAGAGAAAATACATGTATATTCAGGACAAGGATTTAACAAAAAACCTGCTTTGACCATGATCTTTCACCTAGAACAAGAATAAAGGTCCAATCTGTTCTGTGGTTAAAGTATGAGCCTTATAGGGCCAAGGCAAATGAAAATATATTCCATATTCTGACAAACAGACTGATCACAACAGAATGTCTGCAGAGTGTGGCCTTTATAACAGAATCTTAATTAAAAGTCTATTTCAAATAAAAATAGAGAAAAAATCTAAAAAATATTCAGAATAAATTTGTTTGGAACATGTCCTTTTTCTTTTAAAAAGTGTAACTTTTCATTAATTTTGTTAAGAAACTGAATAATTTGACTAAAACCGCAAAAAGAAAATATTACACAAAATCATTAGAGTTGACCAGAGGGTTAAAGATAAAAAATATGGCGAGCTTTACTTCAATATCAAGCAAATTCCACTTGCAGAAACATATTATTTGAATACATTCAAAATGAATCAGATTTTTAAAGTACTCTATGAACCTAAGAATTTATTGAAAAACTGACCTAGAACCCAAAACAGACAAATTGATAACATGCAAGTTTTCATTTTATTCAAAGACTAGATTTGGTTAACAATCAGAACATGCATTATGTACATTTGTCCTGGCCTGAGTAACACATTTATCCTATTCAATGGACATGAATTAACTAGATCAAATGTTCTTACATATGCATCTACTATAACAAACAAATACAATAATACAAATTTCCCTCTATGCAAAAACAATACAACTAAACAATATAAATTTTATACAAAATGGATCTAAAACACAAATCTTGAGTAAATATGACAAAACAGAATGTTGCCATTTTATATATATAAGAAAGTTTTTGGATTAAATGTTGTAAGAAGTCTTCAGAATTGATAAGCCTGCAATTCTATTGTACAATACTGCACAGACATTCTTATATTTAATACAGACAAAGAGATAGAATTACAAAATGGTGATATGAAAAATATATAGCACCTGTTACACCTGTACATTCCGATAGAAAAATACATTAAACTGGATTTAATATATTGAGGTACATGTATTACTGAAAAGTGCATTACACTCAACATGCAAGATCAGTTTTCTTGGTTATAATTTATTGTTTTCTTTACCTTTTAAGTTTAATTGATAAAATGACAGTTTTGCAAAGCTTTTTTAGTATTTATAGCTTATGCAGAACAATAATGAATAAATCTGACTCATTATTTCCATCTTTGCAAGATAAAATACACAGCATTCAGGGGAAACATCAAGAACAAGATTTTGTCTCTTAACATACAAATGTATATATATTGAACTGTCTCTTATCTTTTTTTTAGGGAATGGGGTGGGGGGTGGGGGTTTGATACAAATCTTTGACATTCTAGATTCATCTACTAATTACACCCTTATCCATAATCCTAAATTTGAAATGTCCTTGAAAGTGATACATATTGTTCTTTATCTACTGTAATCTAGCATTCTATGAGTTAGTTTATGAAAGTAAGCCACATTTTTTTTTCCAGAAATTCCTTTGAATTGGTTTTTTCAATTGGTCTCCAAGGTGACTCCTGGCATTAGGTTTTTCCCTGTGTTCAGTGGTATGCCTCGCTTTGGTATGTAAGGTGTTGTCCTGGGTACCATGGTGATGCAGTCAATAATTGGACACACAGAAAGACACAGAGTGCAGCCTGTCAATCCAAGAAAATATGTAGTGAGACAGAACATAGATAAAATTATGGTTTATTTGCTTTGTTATTTTTTTATTTCAAAGAATAATGAAAAAACATTAAACAGAAATAATTATTGCTCTTTCCTTCCTTCTCTCTCTCCTATCTCTCTCTCAAAGAACAAGAGATCAGATGGTTCTGGATGACTTACCTGTGCAGTCATCTGTGACTGTAGGAAGATGGGTCTGAGGATCAAACTTGATGGCTTGGTATCCAGAGTCATTACAAGTCATATAACATTTTCCACAGTTAATGCACATCTCCTAAAATTTGTATGGCAAAATTACAATCTTAATCTTTTACAGCATACATAAACAAATACATGTTTCTTTTTTAATTCATCCACATGGAGACATACCTCATCAATCAAGGCCACCACTTGCTCCTTGTTGTTCAGGTCTCCATAAGTTCCAATCCTGGACAAAGCCAGGCCAATAACATCCTGTATAAGGTGTACACAATGCAGTTATTCATTCTGAGCACACATAATAAAATGAGTTTATAGCTTGCTTATTTTCAACTTGCTCATAAATTTTATAACCAACACATTCATTTACCAGGTTGAATTCTTCTTGAGACTTATTCAAAGACAGTGACTTATTTTAAATCCAATTTCAATTCACTATTTCACCCTTTCTCCAAGCATTAAATATTCTTCTAAATAATTATTGTTGAAAATTAAAATTGAATAGTAAAATTGTCTAGTGTAATAAACCGTATATCAGGTATTTTCTGCGGTTGGAAATTTTTGCGATTTGACCCCTGAAAGGTACATGTAGCAAGTTAATTTCTGCATTTTCATTTTCTGCAGTTGCATTATACCGTAAATCTGGAAATTTTTGCTGTAGATAAATTTTTAGCAAATTTGCGCATGCATTGCATTCGCAAAAATATTTTTCTTAAAAATAAATCAAGAAGAAGAAATGTTTTTATCTAAAGATTACTTAAAGATTACATCGTTATATATATTTTATGTACATGTGTGATTTATGAAAATGTTATGAAAACTTTCAACACTGGATGATTTATCTTTTCTAATATTTTTATCTGATTATTGAACGTTGGCGTAGTTTAATATTGAACGATTATGCGTAATTCATTGTATGTACATGGTAACTTACAAATGTTTAAGAAATTTTTAAAAGCTTTTTATATTTTAGTTCAAATGACGATTCGCAAAAATTTTAAACGTAAAAATTAATCAACAGACTTTTGACCCAGATTCACAAAAATAAATCGACGTAAAAATTTCCAGATTTACGGTACTGCAAATAATTATTTACAGGATATGAACACCAATTTCTAAAGATTTGGCAGAACACTGCTATATTTACATTTTATAAATTCATTTAAAGACATGTTAATCAACTATTTTTTAGTTCATCTTCGTCAACCATTTTCAAATTCTTTTTATTTTAAACATCTGTAAGCATAATTCTTTTTTTAGAATATAGAGTAAGAAGTTATGAAATAACATTCAACCAGGATGATTGACATAAGCACCACACGCACGTATAAAATATCTGAATTAATATTGAAGAAATACTTTGCGACTTCAATTTTTGCGGATTTGTCCTATCCGCAAAATTCCGCAAAAATTGGACAACCACAGAAAATACCCATTATACTGTATGTATCATCAACATTACTTTGACCATGGGTGAAGGTAAGAGTTTAACACACCTTGACAATGAGTATTGACAATTATTCTACAAACCTTGACACTGGGTATAGGTTTCTTTGGAGCATTAGGAGGTCTCTGTACAAACCTTGACACTGGGTATAGGTTTCTTTGGAGCATTAGGAGGTCTCTGTACAAACCTTGACACTGGGTATAGGTTTCTTTGGAGCATTAGGAGGTCTCTATACAAACCTTGACACTGGGTATAGGTTTCTTTGGAGCATTGGGAGGTCTCTGTACAAACCTTGACACTGGGTATAGGTTTCTTTGGAGCGATAGGAGGTCTATGTACAAACCTTGACACTGGGTATAGGTTTCTTTGGAGCATTAGGAGGTCTCTGTACAAACCTTGACACTGGGTATAGGTTTCTTTGGAGCATTAGGAGGTCTCTGGGATTCTGGCATATTCTCTTCACTCAGTAGATCTTTCTTCTGGCAAATCTCATTTTTCAGTGCCTCTCTCTTAGCCAAATATGGTCCAAATGATGGGAGGTTCTGAAGGAAAATTGACACAGTGCAAATTATCCTTGAGGAAATTCAAGCAGGGTTTGACACAATGGTGCGTCCGACCCACCCAGTCTAGTAAATGTGTGGTCCAGTCGTGTTAAATGTTCATGAACTAGACTGACTGGTCGTGTGGATGAAATAAATGTTAACCCTCATCTCAGTCTTTCAAATAAATGCTCTAAAATCTTTTTAAAGAAATTTTCTTAATTTTCCGATTGCAAACACAGCCATTGCTCTGAAAAAGAAAACTTCCCTGCATGACACAATCGCTATTTTTGAGCCCGGCTGTAATAGACAAGTCACAATCGAAACTAGCTTTGTTCAGCATCATTTGGTATGAATAATAATATAGTTTTTGATTTATTTACAGGTATATTTACGGTAATAATTTTATTTAAGTTCCTTGAATTAATGTTCTTTAAAGCTTATAATATTCGCATGTTGACTCATTGGGCTGCTCCCTATGGGGTCAATGGGCTGCTACCTATGGAACAGTCTGTCAAAATGTATACATGAACACATGCGAAAGATACACTGTAGTATGGTTTCGAAACTTTTTTCACATTATAATAGCAGGTTATAAAAAGAAAATTTTCAAGTTTGGTCAGGGCTAGTGATTTTATGGTCAGGGCTAGTAAAAATTATGGGAAGTAGCCCAACTGGTCTAGTACTCATAAAAGTTAATGTCAAACCCTGTCAAGCAACATTGCAAAATACATGTATCAATCTTTTTATGAAAATTATTATTTAAAACATATTACACTGCATTTTTTCTCCCTTTTCTTACATTTTTACATTATTCAATAAGTGATCTGCCCTTCAGGTGGTATCTTTAATCTTCAGTACACCCTTCTGCCCTAATATATCCCACTTAGTGACTCACCTCTCCAATAATATCTTTGACCTTCAATACAGGTTTTCCAAGTTGATGGGGTTCAGTAGGGGGGCTCTGTCCATCCCAGTTGTGTAGTTCCTCAATACTCCTGAGGTACAGGAGGGTTTTTAATCCTATGATGTAATCCTCAATAATGGTGTATTCCTGGTTGTGAATAGCGCTGCACACCTAGAGCATTTAAAGAGAAAGTTTATTGATGAAATACGATGGTCTTATAGAACACAAGGAGTATATTTTTTTTAATGTTAGTAAAACCTGGAAGATATATGAGACTCTGCAAGTTTGGCAGTGTGTATCCCTAGATGCTTCATCCACATAAGTTTGACCAGCACACTGGGATTACAGTAACTCTTCATAAATCTTTAATGTGGTCACTCATCTGGAAGATGTAGGTCAGAACTTAAATCTGAAGCAAGTCTAGTAGCTTTTATCTACTGATGCATCATTCATGCAAGTTTAGCCAACATAGGGCTTCTAGTTACTTGGGAATGTGACCTGCTCCAAACACATTAACCTGGTCATTCCTATGCTGAAAATACAGCATCTGTAACCTAATAAGTGACAAAAAACATACTAGATGCAACATACATGCAACTATCATTATAGGGCATAGATGTACTTGAAAAGATATCTACTCCACAAACATTAATCTGGGACACATACACAGACATTAAGGGTATTACATAATCTCTCCCAACTTTGATGATATCAAATACTGCTAAAACAGTGTTTGAGGGAAAATAATTGAAAATGGGGCTGGATATCAGCTGGGAATTTCGTATTGCGATATACTACAATATTTTTAACTATATTGCGATATGTATTGCAACTTTTTCAATTACAGTTAAAATGATCTTTTCTTATTCGATCAACACCCATAAGCAGAACGTATATAACTATTATAAATATGTTGTGACAAAAAAAAATTTGTTGATTTCACTACAGTTTTGCAATGAAATGCAATCATACAACAGCAACCTTAATGTTTGGCACGATTGAAAATCTTTCTGACATCTTAAATTTCATACTTTACTTTACAAATCCTAATTCCAAGCATTTCCCACTATATCGGTATTGAAAAATGTATCGCAATACAATTTCTTTTGTCAACAATTGGAATATACTGGAACATCGATATTATTGTGCAGCCCAATTTGAAAATGTAAGATGTACTACAAGCATCATTAATTGAAAGAAACAATGTATCAAGTATGAATTTTTAAAAAAATTTTATTTCTCATTAATCCTTTAGAAATAGAGGCAAACAAAATTGTATCTGAATCAACCATTAAAACATAACTAGATTAGACTCTGATTAATATAGGGCATGGGAGTAACTTTCTTCCAAAAACTTTCACCTGAACTACATGTACATGCATTAAATATGCATCATTAACTAAAGAAAACATTAATCCTTGAAAAACATTCATATTGCAAAGTTTAATCTTAATCAATCAATAAAACATAAGAAGATTCTCTTACTGAATTAAACACTAACAAGAAGTCTGTGAGCCAATGCTCACTAGTAATACCGCCGCTCTGATGTGAACATAAGCTCTCATGAATCCTACCATACAGCATGCCTAAACAAAGAATGCGCTAAAATTTCAAGCATCTGCAGTGAGTAGTTGCTAACTGTGACAGAAATTTGGTACAGACAGATGCTTGGAAAAAACAGGACGTTGACACCAGATTTTTACAACAAGAGGCCCATGGGCCACATCGCTCACCTGAGCACATTGGCTAGACTAAGGCACAAATCAGTTCAGTAATGAAAAAGATTACCGCTTGAATTTTAAACTACCTGATGATGCTTCCATGTCAATATAACAAATGAATTTGTTGTACTTGAGAAGATTTTAAAAGAATTTTCCCATTTATTTCTTTGTAAAAATTTGATCCCCCATTGTAGCTCCTCCCTACCCCAGGGGTCATCATTTGAACCAACTTCAATCTACATTACCTGAGGATGCTTCCATATCAATAAGACTAACATAGCTTTTCTGTTCTTGAGAAGAATTTTTTTTCTATATGTCCTTATGTAAAACTTTCGATCCCCCATTGGGCCCCACCCTACCCCCGGGGGTCATCATTAAAACAAAATTGAATCTACACTACCTAAGGATGCTTCCATATAAATATGACTCTTCATGGCTTTATTGTTCTTGAGAAGAAGATTTTTAAAGATTTTTCCTATATATTTCTATGTAAAACTTTGATCCTCTATTGTGGCCCCGCCCTACCCCCGGGGGTCATGATTTGAACAAAATTGAATCTACACTTCCTGAGGATGCTTCCATATAAATATGACTCTTCATGGCTTTATTGTTCTTGAGAAGAAGATTTTTAAAGATTTTTCCTATATATTTCTATGTAAAACTTTGATCCTCCATTGTGGCCCCGCCCTACCCCCGGGGGGTCATGATTTGAACAAACTTGAATCTACACTACCTGGGGATGCTTCCATATGAGTTTCATCTTTCCTGGCCCTGTGGTTCTTGAGAAGAAGATTTTTAAAAGATGCTATTCATTTTTCACTAATTCTTAATTATCTCCCCTTGAAAGAGGGCGTGGCCCTTCATTTGAACAAACTTGAATCCCCTTCACCCAAGGATGCTTTGTGGCAAGTTTGGTTGAAATTGGCCCAGTGGTTCTGGAGAAGAAGTTGAAAATGTGAAAAGTCTACAGACAAACGGACAGACGGACTACAGACAAAATGTGATCAGAAAAGCTCACTTGAGCTTTCAGCTCAGGTGAGCTAAAAATGAATCCCACCATATGGCATGCCTAGACAAAGAGTGTGCTAAAATTTCAGACATCAGCAATAAGTAGTTGCTGAGAAAACTGCTGCGAAAATTTGGTATGAACAGATGCACAGATAAACAGGAAGTTAACATCGGATTTGTACAAAAATGAATCCCACCCTATGAAATACCTAAACAAAGAGTATGCTAAAATTTCAAGCATCTGGGATGAGTACAGTTCCTGAGAAAACTGCAATGAAAATTTGCTACGGACACACAGACAGTTACATAAGGGTAAAACAGTATACCCCCCTCTCCTACGGAGCAGGGGTAAAAAAATATCTTTTTAAGTGCAAAACATCAACACCATTTTACCTGTAGAACAGTGGCTCCTCCTTGCAAGAACTGTAACCCTGCATCTGCTGAATCGATTCCTCCAGTGGCCAGAATAGGGAACCCTGGGAGTTCCCTGGCAATGGCTGTTACAGCCCTGAGAGCAATAGGCCTGATGGCATTACCAGACACGCCCCCATAGGTTGTGCGATGGTCCTTACCAACATTGGGCCAAGCAAAACCATTACTTTTGAGGCCCATCAGACCTGACACTGTGTTTGTAGCAGTCACTCCATCAGCATCACCTGTAGCATAAAATTCAAACTGAAAATATCATGTCTATATATACATTTACATTGTTCATCTTTTATAAAGTTTACAAGCCCTTAAACATGCTTTTTGAGGTAAGTAAGACAAAGAATTAAAAGGTATTTGCTCAAGACATATCTATATTCTGAAGGTGAGGTCAAAACCCTTATGGGCATTCCAATCCATACAAATTATTTTTCACCAGTATATGCCTCTCTCACTTTGAAGAAATAAAATTTGTTACTTTTTCATTCACATAATATCAATGAACCTTCTTTAGCTGCTTTGGCTATGGAGACAACACTGGTTACATTTGGGGTCAGTTTGGCAAAGAATGGTATTTTGACCGCCTCTCTTACCCAGCGACAGATGTTTCTAACCAACTCAGGATCCTAAAATAATGGAAGTTCAGTCCTCAGTTATACAGACATTTTTGTTAAGAGAAACTTTATTATGTAAAAGGTGAAGATAATGCAAGTGATCAATCTCAAAAAATCTATAACAATATAAATATGTGAAGAGAGAATAAAACATGGACCCCTGGACTCTCCAGAGGTGGGATCAGATGCCTAGGAGGAGTAAGCATCCCCTGTTGACCAGTCGAAACCCCCATGAGCCCTAGGTATAGATCAGAACTTTCCATAGTCAAATTCAGCACAAAAATCAAACAAGGACAATCATAAGGAGAGATTGAGGTCTCACCTGTCCACAAGCCAGTCCCATTCCTCTTTCCCCCATACCATGGGGGCAAGACAGATTCAACTCCAATGCATCCGATCCAGCTTTCTAAAAATGACAAAATATTCATTATTGAGAGAAGACATGATGTTAGGATACCATTAATCACTGTTTTTCACATCACACATTTAAATAATGCTGTTTTCTTTTTTTCAAATTCATAAAGTATATTGATCACTTTGTGTGAAAAATTGTGAAGTCTAATTAAACTGTACATTAGATTGATGTTTGAAACCTAATTGCTAAAAATATGACTTTTAACCATCTGAGAGCTTTACCTCTGCCATCTTGGCTAGCTCAGTCCAGTCCTCTTTGTTATAGCTACACATGATACTGCCAATCACAATCTGTAACATGAAAGGTCATTCGACACTGAAATTCCTCAAATAGTAAAAATGCATATGATAAGCTGAAATACATGTATTTGTAATACTAGCAGGCAATCAGAGAATGCTTACCTCTGAAGTAAAATATTAATTTCTACCAAGAAATTGATGAAAATCCCAAAATTATATAGTCTGATCATAAATTCCTAACTAATTGGATCAATGAGATTGATTTTATCTAAATGATTTTTTAATCATGTTCAAAACACACTCTGATGAGAAGTGTCTTGGCAGTTTCGCACCAACAAATGGATGGACAGAAAGATTCTCATACACTCAAAATTATAATTGCCTCACAACCAGTTTAACTCTTTGAAAATTACATTTTAGATTTTTGAAGTACCTACATGTTGAGGGAAGTCTGTTTAGATTTGTGATGTACTTACGTGGTGAGGGAAGCTGTTTAGTTTTTTGAACGACTTACATGTTTAGGAAAATCTATTTTGTTTTTGAAGCACCTAAATGTTGAGGGAAGTCTGTTTAGATTCATGAAGTACCTACACATTGAGAGAAATCTGTTTAGATTCATGATGTACCTACATGTTGTGGGAAGTCTGTTTAGATTTATGAAGGATTTACATGTTGAGAGAAGTCTATTTAGATTCATGATGTACCTACATGTTGTGGGAAGTCTGTTTAGATTTATGAAGGATTTACATGTTGAGAGAAGTCTATTTAGATTTATGAAGGATTTACATGTTGAGAGAAGTCTATTTAGATTTATGAAGGATTTACATGTTGAGGGAAGTCTGTTTAGATTTATGAAGGAATTACATGTTGAGAGAAGTCTATTTAGATTTATGAAGGATTTACATGTTGAGAGAAGTCTGTTTAGATTTATGAAGGATTTACATGTTGAGGGAAGTCTGTTTAGATTTATGAAGGATTTACATGTTGAGGGAAGTCTGTTTAGATTTATGAAGGATTTACATGTTGAGGGAAGTCTGTTTAGATTTATGAAGGATTTACATGTTGAGGGAAGTCTGTTTAGATTTGTGAATCACCTACATGTTGAGGGAAGTCTGTTTAGATTTGTGAAGTACCTACATGTTGTGGGAAGTCCTTTTTGAGTTCCGTGATGCTCTGACACCAGTAGGCTGCTGTCTTCTCACTGATCAGTTCTATGTTGAGGTAGGCGCCCTGTCCTGGACCATAGATATGACCTGAGGTTGTCCCCCTCACAATTCTTGGGGAAACATTTGTCACAATGTCCTATCAAATAATGTTATAATTCAGCTTCAGTGGAAAGCATTATATTAAGAGAAAATAAATTCACATCATTTTTTTCCATAGCATATAACATATATAACCCAAAGAGTGCATAGACAAAATAATAATTATGTTATCAATTAATTCATTTGAAAATGTATCAGTATACTGTTGATCACCAAATATTCGCGACACCTTATTTTCGTGAGATGAGTATTTGGCATTTACTGTAAACCAACTTTTATTCACGTGCGAGAAATATCCACAAGTTTCAGGACTTACTTTAACTCCTGAATATTAATCGCCGCGAATCAAATCTTTTGCTTTGTAATTGTAGAGCATGTTTCCTCAGTCGCGAAAATTAATAATAGTTGGTTTACAGTATAAGCAAGACAAAATTTTCACAAATTCTGAATATTATAGTATATATTCTTTACTAATAAAAATATACACAAGAAGGAAGTTTTCGTGAGGAGAAAGTCTCGCATAATAATGCCAAAATAAAGTTCTCGCAAATAAAAATGAATTAAAGTAACAATCTGATATTTCTGCAACAGGATCAGACTGTTTGATCAAAAAGATTTATTATATTCTATTATAAATTTTTAGAGATTTACAATAAAAAGAAGATAGAAAACATGTTTTTTACCTTGTCCAGAGAAAATGTCTTGGTCAGTGCGAATCCCCATCCAGCCTCAAATGCCCGCCTGATCATAGTACTGCTGGTAGTGGGGGTGGCACTGGCCAGACCAAAAGGATTGGGGAACTTCAGCCCACACATTTCTACACTCACATCCACCTTATCAATGGGGGTGAAGAACTTGGGCAGCGATGGAGTGGACAGAATTGGAATTCCATGTAATGCCTGTAAAATTTATAAAGAATGTTTGGTAATCAATTTTTTTTAACCCTTGATACCTGTTTCTTATCCTCATCTGAGTTTATGGGGGAGGGTGAAACTACATAGGGAGAAGATAAAGATGTATTGTAAATTGAAGCTTAGTTCTTCTAATGAGTTCATTATTTCATAAAAAATACATACAAGTAACTCAAATTAATACTTAAACACATATACAAATTTTTACACTTTCATATATTCAACTAAATATATTCTTATAATTTTGACCGATCTAATTAAAATTAGATGTTCAGAATCAGCTACCGCTTCTCAAATATCTAACAACATCCCATTCACGTCAGAGCGACCTTTCGATTATGAATAAACATGAAAATTTTGGCCAATCAGATTCAAGCTTCTGTATACTATTCTATAATTAGTTCCTCGCCTACATGATGTGTAGTAGGCTGTCTTACACTGAATTAAAGTAATTTTGGTATAAATTAAATGTATAATCCGCCAATCTGGCATTCTTACCTGAATAATGCAAACGAAAATGCACAAACTTAATACAAGATATCCCGCACGTCACATTCATACATAGCACGACCTTTGCCATGCATATTTTGTCGAAAGTTCGCTCTGACATGACCCCGAATGGGATGTTGTTAGATGTTTGAGAAGCGGTAGCGGATTTGAAACATCTAATTTTAATTACTGGTAGATTGAATTTTTGACATTTTTAAAATGACCTAAATAAATATTAAATCAATTACTAGATATACCTAAATAAATATTAAATCAATTAATAGATGACTTTAAAAAAATCATTAAATTAATAAATTGCATATCTGATAAATTTCCAAATTCTGACACTCCCTCTCTTGTGAATATAATGATCGCATTGTACATTACAGAATTTTTCTCTTCATTTGTGCTGCTTTTTACCATAAAAAATTTATTATTGATTAAATCTTCCTGTAATTTTATTCCATAATTTTTTTTCTTTGCTTCCGTAGTAAAAATAATGATTTCTTTAAAAGTTGAGTAGACATGATTGTTATCTATAAGTTACCTATGGGATATTTAAATCTATATTTAACAACCAGGAAGTAAATAACAGATCTCGTTTAAGTCTCGTACACAACCTTGTGAGGACGATCCAAAGTCTTTGATACAACAACATTCAGTTCTTGGAATTCATAGCATTGTAAGTCTAAAATCATTTTTCAAATGATTCAGAAATTTAAGCATCTTATCTAATTATCTGTCAAGATTATTTTTTCTCACTATCATTCCAGGCTGGCAGGTATCAAAAAAAATTTTTTGAATCTGACATGCCTATACATGTTCATCAGTTTTACACTGTCATTTGATTTCAGTGGCTTTAATTGCTATTTCAAAGTCTGTTTGAATGACTGTAGATGGCAGAATCCAAACCAAGAATACCAGGCACAGCCCAGCACTTTTTAGAGTGTGGCATTAAAGACTGTGAAAGAAACTGTGAATTTTACTGCAATCCTTGCCACCAACAGATGTGTAAACAATGTAGAGATGAACATTTGAGAAGTCCAGAAACAAAAAGCCATGAGGTGGTTCTATACCAACAATGGAAACGACAACTTCCTGTAAAGAAATGCAAGATCCACCCCACCAAGGATATAGATCTTCTTTGTGAAGAATGTAAAATTCCTTTATGTTCCAAGTGTGCTGCCACTCAAGAACACAAAGGTCATACCTTCACTGATTTAGAGACTATTTACGAGGATAAATTCTCTCTCTGTCTAAAAGAAATTGCCAAAACGCGAGAGTATTTTCTGCCAACATCACAAGACATACAAAAAAACATTGAAGAAGATGCCACAGAAATCAAAAAGATCATGAACAACTTAAGAACCTCCATGAAGGCTGAAGCAGAGTCTCTTAAAAGTCTGGTGGATGAAGTGGTCTCTGAGAACATGAAGCAGCTAGACCAAATAGAGTACTCACTGCTAGATGATTTAAAAAACCAAGATAAGGCATTCAGTGATTACATTGCCTACCTCAATAACCTAATTAAGGAGTTTCAGGAATTCCTCTCCTCACCAGATCCCACAAAATTAACTTTGACACTCTCTTTGGTGGGTATGGAAATCCGACCAATACCAGAGACGACAAAACCAGTATCACCAGTATTTACTGCCGGTCAATACAGAAAAGATGATGTTGTTAAATTACTGGGTAAAATAAGTTCTCCAGAGATAAAACCAGAAACAAGAAAAATAAAACCAATGGAAATCCCATCTCTCCTAACACCAAAGACATCTACAAGTAAACACTTAAAATCTGACAAACGGAAATTTAATTTGAAACAAACACTGTCTTTATCTTCCTCTGTCACTAAAGTCACGAAGTTAGATGTACCAGGTGTTGACAGAGTGGTGCATATGTCACAAGATCAGTCAGGCAGACTCTGGGTCAGTGATAGTCAAGGTAACCTTGTCCAAACAGATCTACAGGGGAATGTGATACAGAGGATAGAAACCAGTGGTGAATTTGGTTACCACACAGTAACACAGGACGGGGATCTGATCTTTATAGACTATAAGAAGAAAGTCATCAACAGGATAACAATGGATAACAATATCACAGAATTCATTAAAATAGGAGACTGGGAACCACTCGGCATGCACTCCTCCCACATCAATGGGGACATACTGGTGGGGATGATGAAGGGTGTAAAGGGTAAAGTCACCCGGTACAACAAGACAGGGACAGAACTACAGAACATACAGAGGGATAACGAAGGACAGGAACTGTACAGTACACCAATCTACATAACAGAAAACATCAATGGAGATATCTGTACTTCAGAGTTTGCTAAGGGAGTAGTGGTGGTGAATAAATCAGGACAATACAGATTCTCCTACACAGGTCAGGGGTCAGTGTTCCGTCCCTATGGAATCTGTACTGATGTCCTCGGTCACATACTGGTGTGTGACAGTTACAATGTTCATCTCCTTGATCAGGATGGTCAATTCTTATCTTTACTACTCACACAACAACAAGTATCTAGTCCAGTTAGTGTGTGTGTGGATGATGAGAATAACCTTTATGTGGGAGCTCTCAATGCCAAAATTATAATGTACAAGTATCTACAGTGATTCTTTTTCTTAAATCTAACAATTAATAATATGTTTATGTCATTATTTTTACATGTACTTAAAATAAACAGAATTATATGTATCAGAGATTTCATTTTGCATATCTTATAATGTAATAAAATTATTTAAGCAAAATATAACAAAATGAGAATTTTCATTTGATCCAGGATTTGATATTATTCATTAAATAAGGATGGTCATCAAAACATGCACGATGTATATTGTGATAGACATACAATACTACAGCCAAATCATACACTCAAGAGAGATAGCTGATGATTACAGTAAAACTTGTTTATAACGAACATGGATATAGCGAATTTACAGATATAGCGAAGTTTTTTGGAATCCCCGGCAAAATTCTTAACAATTCCTTGTAAATTTTTATGGATACGAACTCAAATATAGCAAATTTACGACCATAGCAAACTGATTTTGTGACCCCTAGAGGTTAAAGATAACAAAATTTACATCTTTTATTGCAAATTTTCAAAGATCTCAATTTTTAAAATATTGAACTGACACTATTTATGTAAGTATTTTAAATTCAATTCATCCGAAATAGCTTTTTATTATTAAATACTTCCCAAAATACACTTGGTAATCACACTTGTAGGAAAATAATCTGTATTTCGAATTCACTACATAAAGTTTAACAAATTCGTTATATGGATATAACAAATTATGGATATAGCAAAGTAATTTTGCAGGTCCCAAAAACTTCGCTATAACCGAGTTTTACTGTACATGCAAGTTAAACAAGAAATATATGCCCCCTGTGTGGCAATTTTAAAGCAAATAACTTTAAATTTATAATAACTGTAATGAAAATGAAATCAATTGGTCATCTTTTAGCCAAATGCAAACATAATTCTGAATTTGATCTCTAACAGACCTCAATATCATTATGGGTAATATACATCTTACAGGGTACCAGAGTACTAAAACTGATGTTTGTACAGCAAATGGTTCTGACAAAACATCTTCTTATGTCTAGTATCTATGTTTTCATCCTTGACCTTTGAGCTTGTGACCTCAAAATCAACAGGGGTCATCTACTTTTCAACGGGAAACAAAGTGCCAAGTTCGGTGTCTTTCAAGCAAATGGTTCTCAAGATACTGAATGGAACAAGATTTCACTAAGTCTAAAGGACTTTGACTCTTCAGTAGGGTTTTAGTTGGTCAACAGATATGCTATGTACTTTCATCAATATGACCAAACCTGTAGATATTTGTGAATGTGCCAAGAGGCCTGTTTTCCATCATTGACAGACTCTACTGTTGTCTGGGCCACCCCTGCTAGATCCCCTCCACAAAATACCCAGGGTTCACTGGTCTGCATTGTCTTGGAATCCACCTCAGGTAATCCCCATCTGTTCATCTTGACTGGACTCATGGCATCAATAACTATAATTTAAAAAGAAATCATTATTGGTCAATTTCAACTCTCAACGAGAGAGCACATCAGTTCTGATATCAACTAATATTTACATTTCCAACTGTTTTCTCTGTGACAACTCTTTGAAAGTTAAGTGTATTGATATCTTAATATTTACAATTGAACGTAAATTTTGCAAAGTGAAAGGTCAAGTGCCTAATATGCATGTCAATTTCCTGTGGCTGTCTTTGTGTCTGGCACCAGTGGGCTGGGACTATGGAAATTAACATATTCTAAATCTATCAGATAGCATTTTTAATTTATATTTACATTTTTATTTCAAATATAAATGTAAATATAAGGAAATGAAATACATGTACCAACAAGGGCACTTCAAATTAGAGCATCCCCTCACAAAACAAGAGGCCCATGGGCCACAGCGCTCACCTGAATAACTTTGGCCCTGTTGTTCTTCACCAGACGATCTTTTTGTAATACCTATTGTGGCCCCACCCTACCCATGGGGGTCATGATTTTAACAATTTAAAATCTACACTACCCCAGGATGTTTCCATATAAGTTTCAGCTTTACTGGCGAAGAGGTTCTTGAGGAGAAAATTTTTAAAGATTTTTCCTATATATTTCAATGTAAAACTTGGATTCCCTATTGTGGCCCCACCCTACCCCCAGGGGTCAAGATTTGAATAGTTTAGAATTTACGCTGCCCCAGGATGCTTCTACAAAAATCTTAGCTTTTCTGACCAAGTGGTTCTTGAGAAGAAGATTTTTTTCTATATATTTCAATATAAAAATTGGATTCTTTAATGTGGCCGTGGCCTGCCCCCAGGGGTCATGATATTAAAAATTTAGAATCTACACTACCCCAGCATGCTTCCACATAAGTTTCAGCTTTTCTGGCCCAATGGTTCTTGAGAAGATTTTTAAAGATTTTTTCTTAGTATTTCAATGTAAAACTTGGATTCCCTATTGTGGCCCTGCCCTTCCCCCGGGGGTCATGCTTTTCACAATTTAGAATCTACACTACCCCAGCAGGCTACCACATTAGTTTCAGCTTTTCTGGCCAAATAGTTCTTGAGAAGAAGATTTTTAAAGATTTTTTCTTAGTATTCCAATGTAAAACTTGGTTTTACTATTGTGGCCCCGTCCTTCCCCTGGGGGTCATGCTTTTAACAATTTAGAATCTACACTACCCCAGCATGCTACCACATTAGTTTCAGCTTTTCTGGCCAAATAGTTCTTGAGAAGAAGATTTTTAAAGACTTTTTCTTAGTATTTCAATGTAAAACTTGGTTTTACTATTGTGGCCCCGTCCTTCCCCCGGGGGTCATGATTTTAACAATTTAGAATCTACACTACCCCAGCATGCTTCCACATAAGTTTCACCTTATTTTTGTCTTTTCTTGATTATCTCCCCTTGTAAGGGGGTTTGGCCCTTTATTTTAATAATTTAAACTCCCCTTCACTCAAGGATGCTTTGTACCAAATTTGGTTAAAATTGGCCCAGTGGTTCTTGAGAAGAAGTTGAAAATGTGAAAAGTTTACAGACGGATGGACGGACGGACAGATGACGGACAACGGGTGATCAGAAAAGCTCACTTGAGCTTTCAGCTCAGGTGAGCTAAAAAGCATATCAAATCCTTATAACTTGCCTGTTACACAAATTATCCCATGTTTCCAACTGTCGTATGCCCTGGCATACTTAATAAACTACACTGTGATTCCTTGAATACATACCATCTGTTTCAGTCAATCCTGAGCCAAATGCTGAGATGATGTAATTAGCCCTGATGCGGATGATCTCTTCCTCATCTTCCACCCAGTTCCCTTCATCATCCTGCTCTGTTCTGACAAACTCCATCCCCGTAATCACACCATTCTTTGTCATCACTTTTCTGGGGGCCAGGAATGGCAAGAATTCACATTTCTCCTCTTTTGCCAATTCCATCTGTGAGGAAAATTGTATCACTGAATTACAATAACCTGAATTAAATATTGTGGGAATGGTTCCCATCTAATAACCTACACTTTTAGACCCAGACTTCCTAGTTTGTTAGTTAGGTATCATAAACTATCATGCCTAGCCAAAAATTAACAAAACAAGAGGCCCATGGGCCACATCGCTCACCTGAGCACATTGGCTAGACACAAATCAGTTCAGTATTGAAAAGATTACCGGGGGTTGGGGGGGGGGGGAATTTTAAACTACCTGATGATGCTTCCATGTCAATATAACAAATGGCTTTGTTGTACTTGAGAAGATTTTAAAATTTTTTTCCCATATATTCCTTTGTAAAATTTTGATCCCCCATTGTGGCTCCTCCCTATCCCAGAGGTCATCATTTGAACAAACTTGAATCTACACTACCGGAGGATGCTTCCATATAAATATGACTAAACATAGCTTTTCTGTTCTTGAGAAGAAATATTTTTTCTATGTGTTCTTATGTAAAACTTTCGATCCCCATTGGGCCCCACCCTACCCCTGGGGGTTATCATTTGAAAAAAAAATTGAATTTACACTACCTGAGGATGCTTCCATATCAAAATGACTAAACATGATTTTCATTTCTTGAGAAGAAGATATTTTCCAATATGTTCCTATGTAAAAAATTTTGATCCCCCATTTTGGCCCATCCCTATCCCCGGGGTCATCATTTTAACAAACTTGAATCTACACTAGCTGAGGATGCTTCCATATCAAAATGACTAATCATGGCTTTGCAGTTCTTCATCAGAAGATAC